ATATTGCTTGTTAAGGATAGGAGATCATTAAAATTAAGATGCATTTTTCACCATCTACACTGCATGTTTCATTAAACCTCTCTGCAACTGTCTACATAGGATTTACAGTGGGTAAATGGTAACTGTGTTTGTTTCGTGTTCATTTGAAATGATTAAAATGTTTTAATCAATTCCATCTTTCTGATAGTGAATTTATTCATGTTTGTGTGTTAGTTGAATAATTACAAATCATAATATGTTTTAAGTGACATCTTTGATTTGAATTCATTGATTATGGTACAGTTGTGCTCTTTTTGCTATCCACTATTTCTGTTAACAACTTAAAAAAGGAAACATTATTTAATGAAACAAAAATCTCAAGGATCCACAACAGGATGACCTTTTTTTTTTTATTCTCAATAAAAAATGGCATGGACAAGTGTCTTGTTTTGTTTCTTCCCTCTTGCCTGCTGCATTATTCAGATGTTGCCTCATTATGATTTATTTGTCAGACTTGGCAAAGTTTTTACACCAGATGCCTTTTCTGCAACAATGAGGGGTTTAAACCCAGGTTCCCCTAATGGGGGTCGTGGACTTAAACCACCATGGGGACTGCAGATGTTTCTTCTGTAATAAATGTGAAGCAATGGGGTGTTGAATTTTTGATTCCCCATTTATGTATTTATATTTTATCTGCTGTTTCTGCAGCAATTCTATCACTCAACCTGAATATATATCTTGGTTAAGCAGCTGGAAGACCAAAATGTAGTCTAAAAGCACTCTGAAAACTACATTAATGTTTTAAAAAAACATAATCTAGAGAAGAGCAGATTCCTACAGAGGTTAGGTTATTAATATACACTTATAAATGTTTCTGTATTGACAAATACATTTTGCCATGCCTGCCATCAAATTCTTGCACCTCTGTTGAAAATGTGTTATATCCTTACCTGTTAGAAGCATGTCTATGAAGAGATATTGGAGCATTAACAGACACCTTTTGACTGCAATTTATGCCACTGCTGACATTTTCAGTCTCATCTTGCTGCAGTAGTCCTATTTAAGAATTTGGACGAGAGAAACACTGAATCTCTGAAGCTTAAACCGAACTCTACTTCATGCAAGAATTCCGTTTTGAAGAGCAGCTTGAGCTCAACCTACTCAACTGACCAGCCATCCAGATCTACAGACAATCCTCTTTACTCTTCTGATACAGACTTTAAATAAATAAATTGTGTTACATTCAAAGAAATTGAAAGCCAGTAAGGATTTAAAATAATCTAAACTGTTACTATGAGTTCAACATTTTAGCTTAAGCCACAGCAGCAGCCCCCATTGAGGCAAGGCAGTACCCAAGCTTAGGCCCCACCAGCAGAACAAACCATCAGTGACTACCAAGGGAGTGAGATAAATCAAAATCAGCTAATATTGTCAAATTAGGAGCAGGGTAGAGAAATGTAGAGGCATCAACATGTTCAGAAATAAACATTTAACAAAAAAGAGTGGTATCATTGCTACAGAGGCCAGGATGTTAAGAGGGTCAAGAAAAAAAAATGACAGCAACTCGATTCAGAATGGAAATGTTTGGATCAAAGAACAAGAAGAGTCCAAGGCAAACATGATAAAATAACTGAAAGACTTAGAAAGGTATGGGGATGTTCATTGATCAATGTGATATAAAATTAAGTTGAAGTTACTTAAGCAAATTACAGAAACTTGAACATTGATCCAGCTTTAAATATCAATAATTAAACAGGTTATGAAAAGGAACCTGCAAAAAAAAGTATATTTTAAATAAAGAATGCAAGAACTATACTGTACAATTTAACAATGAGATCTTGGTTTAAAGGATGTTATCGGTTATCTATTTCAACAGTATGGATTTCTTCATCCAGAAAACATTTGGGGTAACTTGATCAAGTTCAGATAAAGGGATATGAGATGTATTATTTAAATAAAAATTGAAAAGGTGGGTAGTCTCTTGTACAAGAGTAACACAGCTGATAACATGACTGTTGTTAACAACACTATGGACGTTATTACAGTAGAAATCTTGGGAGAAGAAACTAAAGCAATTGTGTCCATAAAGCACCGAGCTACTGAGTTGAGGTTTTTTGCAGAAAAATATTATTGAGTTGTTTAGCAGAATCTCTATGTGGAGATTTTAACATGAATCTTGTGAATATGTGCTTTATGTACAACAAATTAATTTATTTTAAAGTATATTTTAGGTCTGTATCATTTAGTAAGAAAAACCAACAAGAATTACTACACAAAGTGCAACATTTTTGTTACTATTATCAGTTATGCTTCTAAGGGATTGAGGCTGGATCCTGGTGACCGATTCCAGCGATTATTTACCTGTTTGTGGTCTATAAAAATAACTATTATAAAACACAAGTCTTAGTGGAAAATACATTCCTTATATTTTTGCAATAGACTCTCTTTATATGTTAGAAGATCAAATAGAATTGTATTACTTCTCAGTCAGTTAGGAGTTTGATATTTGACTCATCAGCTCTCTGTGATTTTGCATGCTAGCTGATTAAAAATAGCTCCCAAGCATTCAATATTTACTGACATAGATTACAGATCTGTCAAATATTCACAAATAGTCCTGGTCTTAAATTGTGTTTTCTGTACAGCAACTTTCCACATGGTTACACTCAAAGCAACCTTAAAGAGAATAGTAGTGTAAAGATGGTAAAGAGTATAAAACTGTAATGCTGGAAATTTGGTAAAAAAAAAAAAAGATGTTATGAATGTAAAATGATCAAGAACTCCTTTTTTATAAAGTCTATAAAGATGAACACAGATGACCCCGACACTGCATTGGATAAACTTTTAAATGATTTAAAGGGAATTGGGAACAGACACTTTAGAATTCAAATCTCTTTTTTTTTCAAGTTTGTTTTTTGGTTTTGTTCTAGTAAATTGCTACTGCTATCTGCTGATTGCTAACTTAGACTAAGACTAATACAAACTTTATTGTCATTTTGTATACACAGAGGGCCGGATTTATCAAGATCCAATTTTGCGTGCAGTAATTTGCGCTCGCAAACTGGAATTTTGCGCGAGGGGCTGAACCATGGTTTGCGGGTGATTTAACAAGAGCGATTGCGTAACTGGTGGCAGGTGCAAAACTGTTGGAGACGCCCTATTTAAATGATGGTTTTGCGCGTTTGGTGGTTTGCGGCAAAGTAGTTTGGACAGCAGAAAGCGCAAAAGGAAATTCGACCCCATGGAAATGGAGGTGTTGGTGGATGAAGCCAACAAACATTTAAGTGAGCTACAGCAAAGAAGTGTGACTGTCACACAGAGGAACGCTATATGTGAACAAATCTGTAATAAGGTAAACGCTGTTGGTGAAACCTTGCGAACAGTGGATGAAGTAAAAAGAAGATACCAGGATATTAGAAGGCGAACCAAAGAAAAACTGGCATATAACAAAACATCTGCGAACAAAAGAGGAGGGGGCACAGTAGATGAGATGCCTCTGACCAGCATTGAGGAACAAGTACAGCAGACGCTCTGTGAGGAGCAAATCACTGGAATTGCAGCTCCAAAATGGCAATGCTGGATAAACGATATGTTTTGATCGTTTCTTGTTCATTCCAAAAATATTCACACGGAGTGAAAAAATGCGTTCTCTGCGTCTCCTTGCTTAATTTCAATGTCTCCTTCTTGCGGCAATAACCGCTGCCATGTGTGCGCAATTACGCATACAGACCATTTGCACCTTCTTTTGAAACGTGTTAAATATAGAGTCAGATACCGTTAGCAAAATTGCTTTCAGGTTTGATAAATCACTTTGCGAGTGCTAAATTAATATATTTACATGTTCTCCTCCAACAAGACGCATTTTTGCGTGTAAACGCCCCATATTGCATATTCATTGCAGAAAAAGTACTAAATGGATATCAGGCGCTATTTAGCACATTTTAAAGACCAAATCCTTTTAGCACGCTGTTGATAGATCAGTTTGTACATTTTTAGCGTGCGCAGTGAAATAGCTCACGTTTTTATACACGCAAACCTTTGATAGATCCGGCCCAGAGTGTATACAAAACGAAGTTTTGTTTTCTACAGCTTTCAGAACATTTCCATTCTATAAAGTACAGCAGTGACCAAAATTAAACAGTGTGGGAGGAAAAAACATGATGCAAAAAGAGCATTGATATGGAAGTTCAGAGCATTAAATATGTATGGTGCAATCATGCAGTATTTTGGTTTTGATATTATCAGTGTGATGCAGAGTCTGTGACACTATTTAGAGCTTTCTTAGCATTCATCTGTCTAATACGGGGGGGAAGAAGCTGTTGCAGAATCTGCTGGATGCTGCGAAGCCTCTTCCTTGAGGGCAGCAGGGAGAACAGTCCAAGGTGGATTTTGAGGTGTAACTTCCTCTAAGGGGGCTGCTCAGTGGCTCAGTGGGCAGCACTGCTGCATGTTCTCCCTGAGCATGCGTGGGTTCTCTCCAGGTACTCCGGCTTCCTCCCACAGTCCAAAAACATGACTGTTAGGTTTATTGGCTTCTCTAGATTCTCCTTAGGTGTGAGTGTGTGTGTGAATGATTGTTTGTCTCTATGTTGCCCTGCGATGGACTGGCGACTTGTCCAGGGTGTACCCCGCCTCTTGCCCGTAGACAGCTGGAGATGGGCACCAGCACCCCTCGCGACCCCGCTGGGGATTAAGCGTTTAAGAAAATGGATGGATGGATGGACTTCCTCTAAGTCCACAACGGAGTTACAAGGTATTGGTTGCTTTTGTATGTCTTTTCTAAAAAATTACATTATAGTAAAAAGAGTTTAAATGTGTTACAGTGATTATTCTATTTTTCGCTTCACCTCATTAGTTGTTTAAAGTAAATCTTAAAATTTCAATATAGTTTTCTCTAAGATTGATAATATCTTTTTAAGTATTTGCAAAAAAATATTTACCTCACAGTATAAACAGTTGTTTTAACTAATGCTGTTTTCACATTTTATGGTTGAATTAAACTCACAAAAAATAAAAATCACTTTAATTCAGGAAAAATATATTTCAAAGTTTATTCAGTGCACTTTGACACCATAATCTATTCAGGCAGAAATGTAGTTTCAAGTGCTACCAAAGCATCAAATGTTAGATAAAAAATGGGATTAAATACTAAAGATAAAATAAAACCCAAAATAAAATGCCTTTGATTCAACACCTCCTTTAGCTCATGTCCTTTAGCTCATATCCATGCTCTCTGAGGGACCCATGCCTCCTCCCTCCCCTCCCTGGACACTGTGGTAGATGGACGCCATGTCTGCGTTGGACCTGATCTGGTTGGCGAATTCAGCCATGCTGGGACTTTTTTCCACCTCCGGCACAGCCAGCAGGGCGGCGACAGCTCGCATGGCTGAGCGCCGCAGTTCCTCCTGCTTCTCAAACTCCTGCTTTACAGAGCCAGCCTTTACCTGCAGATTGTTAAAATGCATGTTATTTATTTATTTTCTGTTTTGCTTGTTTAGTCTTTTGTATTTTTAAGTTTCAATGCACTAAACAATACCAAGGCCCATTTAAAACTAGTCCTGATTTTGTAGATTATCAATAATTCCATGGCATGCATGTATTTCTGTACTTTGGTGGTGCAGGTGGCTTTTAGCGGTTCCACCAGACGGTCAAGTCTTTGGAGAACAGCAGCAGGACACAAAGAAACCAGTCTGGCTAACATCAGGAAGGTCAACATCTACAGAAAAAAGATGGATTATTTCAGACCAAACAGCTGAAGTGCTGATTGCTTACAATCTATAAAGAATGATAAACAATCTGAATTCAGCCTTTTTCCTGCTCACCCTGATATCATAGTGATCTTTCAGTCCCTCCTCCACATGATCCAGAAACTGCAGGACATCCAGCCCCTCTAGACAGCTGTCCAGCAGAGTGTACATACACTCAAATGCTGCTTTACGCACATCCAAACCATCATCAACAGTGTGTTTGAAGGGACCCATCTCCACCTGCAGTGCAAATGCAAAGCCTTATATCTGCACAGATCGCTATTTTCTGAAAATTTCCCATTAGCTTACACACCTCCCTAATGAGGTCTTTCCTGATCTGGGTTTCCTTGTAAAGGTGAGGCAGAACTGTTCCCAGCAGGCCTTGGACCAGAGACGGTTTGTTGTGAGCAGCAGAGTTAAACATCACCAAGGCGACACGCCGCACATTGATGTCACTGTCCTGCAGGGTCTTAAGAAAGTCACCTGTGGTTAAAAAAAAGGCAGTTTTCTTACTGATGTTGCCTTACCCAGCTTTAAAACTCAGAACAATTAAAATAAAAACTGCTAATATTCTGAAGTTGTTAAAACATTTAAATATAATACAAATAAATGTATTATTTTCATTTTGATATTTAGAAGGAAATTGTATGGGACCAGTCAAGAATAGAAGGGAAATTTTGAATGGCTACTATTGTAAAACATGCTTCCACACAAGTGAATGCAGTGCAATGGAAAGGGTTATAGTACATATGATGGGTAAATCATCGCTCGTGGAATACAGTCACAGTAACACAAGTCTGAGTATTTCTGAATCAAACATCAACCTGTAAAACATTTACAGTAAATAATATCAACAGAAACTAAGGCTGTCAATTTACAATCTTTCAGTATGTAAAAAAACATGTTCAATAAAGTTAGTTTAAAAATCATTCTCAAAGTGTAAATAAAGTAAATATTTTCCCATGATGCTGTGTTTTACCTATACAGTCTTTTAGCAGTGAGTCTATGGGAGCTGGATGGTCAACAATAGTGAACTTTACAGCAGTCACCACTGTACTTCGAGCCAAAGGTGAACCTGTAAGAAAAAAAGTGATGGAGGAATATTATATTACTTGATAGATCTTGTAATATAATTTACCAAAATTAATCAAGAAAAATATTTTTTATAAAAATTAATGTTTAATATTAAACCGCTAAAATATTAATGGAAATAACTGATATTAAAACCCAGAGGCGTAGCTAACATAACCACAGAATTACCTCATGAAACTAATCTAAGAGTAATCTGCTAATTTATCTTCCCCTAGTGTTAGATAAAGCACCCCTGGTTTGGTTATTATCTACCCAGGAAACCATTAGCGGTTTGTACCTTGCAGAGACTGCAGAGAGAATGCAGATATTATGATTACATTTAAATGATCATTAAAATACCTGTATTTTGAAATTAGATTTCACTGTGAGTTGTTAGCAAATACCATCATTGTCATCCGTTAAATATAATGGCAGAGATTGTTGAGAAGAGTTTGGATCTTTAAGTTTTCAGGGAATAAAGAAGATCCACTGCGATTTGGTTAATAAAATAATGACAATATGAATCACAATAGATATCTAATCAGTACCAACAATAAATACATCCAATAGATTGTTCTAAATATCAATGACGTTTGATCCAGAACCACACTGCTGAGACAGGATTAAGCCTCTCAACCTCTCACAGCCAAGCTAAACAAGGTAGGACAGGTAGAATTAAAGGTTATGTTTTAATAGCATATGGGTTGCAAATTAAATTCTGCCTTTGTTCTCTTGGTCATTATCTCAATAAACAAACAAAAAATTAATCAATGGTAGCAACACTACTCCAGACATTTTGAATTGAGAAAGCCTCCTGGGTGGGAAGAAAAACGTCTTCAAACTTGGAAAACATAGTCCATTCGTTTGTTTTTTTTACTTTTTTTGGAACATTTTCAGCAATATTCCACAGTCTTATTGGAAATTATTCAAAACAGATCATTTTGATTCCTTTTATCTTTTGGTTCATTAACTGGGAATATTTAAGCTCTTTATATTTAACAATGAGACATCTAAGGGTTTGAATAATAAAAAAAAAAATGGTGTGACACTTTACAGGGGAGATAAGATTCAACATGCTGAACGGACCCCCTCAGTTGCCACCATACCGGCTTTCAGATGTTGTTTTAGTCTGGGCAGAAGTTGTGCAGGGTTGACCAAGGTCAGTTTTCCCAAGCATTCAGCCACTAGGTTCCTGGTCCCCTCCTCCTGACTCTCACAGTGCTGAAACAGCAAAGCCCAGATTGACTCCACGTGTGGTGAGAGACTAGAGGCTGGGCATGCGCTGAGCAGACAAAGAGAGAAAAAACGTAAGGATCTCTATTAGGACTGAAGGACGTTGATAAAACTTGCCTATCTTTCTAGAACCTTTGATAATATATATATATATATATATATATATATATATATATATATATATATATATATATATATATATATATATATATATATATATATATATATATATATATATATATATATATATATATATATATATATATATATATATATATATATATATATATATATATATATATATATATATATATATATTGGCTGCAAGCCCAGCAGTTGTTGGGCTTGCAGCAAATGCTGGGAGAAGGGATACGGATCGGGCGAGCGTACTGCGCGGGGAAGCTGCCCCTGGAGATAGCAAGATCTCTGGTCAAACTACGTATCCACCGGAATCCCCAAAGTGGAGCACGGTTGTGAGGAGAGGAAAGCGACAAGCGGGATTACGCGGTACTACACCTGGAGTGAAAACAAATGCTAAAAGTATGGCCATTGTGGGCACAGGGGCAGTGAAAAACATAAAAACTGTGACAACAAAACTGGTGAGTGTTTTTGCTTCTAAATTCTCGCCTGACTTGGATGTACAGACTTTAACTGAATATCTTCAGGGCCAGCTGGGTCGTGAAGTTACATGTCTGAAAATAAGCTCTGATAATAGCAGGTTTGCCTCTTTCAAAGTCTCATCTGAGTGTAATGAAGTGGCGGAGATGTACAATCCTGATCTCTGGCCAGTGGGAGCTTATGTAAGGCGTTTTTATGAGCCGCAGAGGGCTGGAGCTGTGGGTATGAGTGGTGCCGTTCCCCCGGGGATGCAGATGAGTGGGGCCTCCTTTGCTTGTGGCACCAAGGCCAAATAAAACTGAACAGATGGCTCTTAAAGTTCTCTCATATAACTGCCGTGGCCTGCGCTTGGGCCATAGTGCAGAGGACAAAGCTCGCCGGGTTGTTGTAGACCAACTTCTGAGTCAATGTGATGTGCTGTGTCTACAAGAGACTTTTCTGACAAAGCAGGATTTAGAAGGACTGAACTCTATAAATGAGCGTTTCCACGGGGCTGGGGAGTCCAGTGTTGATATTGGGGATAGAATAATACGAGGACGGATTGCTGGTGGTGTGGCAATATTATGGGATAAGAGACTAGATCCTTGTGTTAAAATAATCCGACTGGAAGTGGACTGGTGCATAGCAATACACCTGACACAACATGACAGGGAATGTGTTATCCTGAATGTGTACACCCCATATGAGTGCATTGCTAATGAAACTGAGTATCTTAACAAGCTTGCTTTTATTAACTCTTTTATACAAGATAACAAATTTTTTAATGTGTTTGTTATTGGTGACATGAACTCTGATATCACTGACAGTAAATCTATCTTTGGTACTCATTTAAAGCAGTTTTGTGAGGATAGTGGGTTAATTCTCTCAACGAAAGTTCTGCTGCCTACAGATAGTTTTACATATATTAGTGAGGCATGGCATACAACCTCATGGTTGGATCACTGTGTAACCACAGCAGATGCACATGCCTCATTGACCGACATGAAAATCCTGTATGAATTCTCTACTGCCGATCATATTCCATTTGGGATGCAGATAAATTTACAGTGGTTACCAATGACAGAAAAGTACTCTGAAAGCAACAAATTACACTTAGACTGGAGCTCACTGTCAAAGGAGGATCTGCTATCTTATTCGATGTGCACAGATAACTCACTCAGGAATATCTACTTGCCCAGAGAAGCAGTTAGCTGTAGAGATGCTAATTGTAAAAATCCTGAGCACATAAGATCCATTTGTTCTGTGTATAATGAAATAGTTAATGTTTTGATTGCATCAACTAAACACTTTCATAAACAAATAAAAAAGAAAAATAAGATCAGGCCAGGTTGGAATACCCATGTGGTTGAATTTTTTAATAGAGCTAGAGAGGCTTCTAAGGAATGGATTGAGGCAGGTAGACCAAGATCAGGGTCTGTCTTTGAACATAAAAAGTATACCAATGCCCAATATAAGTATGCTGTGCGTTATATTGGTAAAAATGAAAGAGCAATGAGGTCTGACTCAATGGCCAGAAAACTCTTCTGTAACAATACCCAAGGCTTCTGGAAAGAAGTTAGAGGTATGACATCCTACAAAACATCCCTCCCATGTTCGGTTGATGGCATATCAGGCACTGCTAACATTGTGGAGCTGTGGCGCCAACATTACAGCAGATTATTTAATTGCATCCATAGTGAACCATGCACTGCAAACAATGTTGACCATATAGATGAAATCCTGCCTTATGAGGTTCATAAAGCTATTTCCAAATTATCTAACAATAAAGCCACTGGGCTGGATGGAGTCTCAGCTGAACATTTAAAGTATGCAAATGCAAGGCTAGCTCCTCTACTTTCCATTTGTTTCACATCGTTTTTTATTCATGGGCTTTTACCTGACTCTATTTTAAGTGTCCTGTTAGTACCCGTCATTAAAGACAAAACTGGAAACATTGGCAATTCTGATAATTACCGTCCGATAGCGCTGGCCAGCATAGTTTCAAAAATTATTGAATCAATCCTGCTGGACAGGATTTTAGAGGTTGTCAAGTCTACAGATAACCAGTTTGGTTTTAAGGCTAGGCTGGGCACAGATATGTGTATATATGCTCTAAAAGAGATTACTTATAAATATAATAAGCAGAACTCTTCAGTGTTTATGTGTTTCCTGGATGCATCAAAAGCATTTGATAGGGTAAACCACAGAAAACTATTCACAAAACTGACACAAAAAGGAGTACCAGAGTATATTGTTCGTATTTTGAAGTACTGGTATACTCAGCAAACACTGCAGATTAAATGGGGGGAATGTGTCTCTGCTCCATTCAAAGTTAGTAATGGGGTGAGGCAGGGCGGGATTTTGTCCCCAGTTCTCTTTAACTTGTATCTGGATGAACTGTCACACAAGTTGAGAGCTTGTCACACTGGTTGTGTGGCTGGTGACTCGGTACTTAATCACCTGATGTATGCAGATGATTTAGTAATATTTAGCCCTAGTACTGCTGGGTTACAGCAACTACTAAACATCTGCTCTGAGTATGGTCTGGAACACGACATAAAGTACAATCCATCTAAAAGTGTGATCATGATCTGTAGGAGTAAGGAAGATAAATCTACTGAGTTTCCAGATTTTTTGCTGTCAAATACTGTGCTGGGCGTAACAAATAAAACCAAGTATCTTGGGCACATCATCACAGAAAATCTGTCAGACGATGAAGATATTTGCAGACAGCGTAGATTGTTGTATGCTCAAGCTAATACCCTTGCACGTAAATTCGGTTCATGTACTGATAAAGTCAAAGTGGAACTGTTTAATGCATATTGTACCTCTCTGTACACTGCTCACCTGTGGACTACCTATAGAAAAGTCAACCTGCAAAGGCTGCAGGTGGCCTATAATGATGCTATGCGGTTACTTTTGAAACGTCCAAGATGGTCCAGTGCAAGTAAGATGTTTGTCACAGCAAGAGTTAATACCCTACAAGCAGTTCTACGAAAGTTAATGTATAAGTTTATTTGTAGGTTAAATGCATCTGAAAACGATATTATTTTGTCACTCACTGATACCACACGTAGTGCAATCCGATATCAGTCTAAGCTGTGGAGACACTGGTATTCCTGTCTTCTTAAAGATCCTATTTAATCGATAATGGTACTTTTATTGTGTTTTTATCATTAACTATTTTTATTTTATTTTTATGTATGTATTTATTGGACCATGAGTCCGGAATAAAGTTTATCTATCTATCTATCTATCTATCTATCTATCTATCTATATATATATATATATATATATATATATATATATATATATATATATATATATATATATATATATATATATATATATATATATATATATATATATATATATATATATATATATATATATATATATATATATATGTAGCTATGTTTCGGATGATAAAGAGACAAACTGTCCAAAGTTACTAAAGCAAATAAATAAATAATAGATGCTAATTGCATATGGTGCTTGGAAATCCCACCTGATGACCTCTTTCAGGGAATGGAGCAGGAGGTATTGCCTTCTTGGCTGAGCTGAGATCTCTTTCAGCATGAAGGGAAGAAACTCATTCAAAGAGCCGACTGCCATGCCTCCTAATGCGCAGGAGGCTGCTGTCTTTATCTGTAAACACAGAAAGGATGTAGCCTCACCATTTATGAAGGAAATCAGTGTATGTTGTTTTTCTTACAATTTGCAGCTGGGGTTAAAAGAGAAGTAGTGATGGAGCTCTTCTCATGGGTAATTTTTCTAAATATCTGTGTTTTGTCAGAATATGTGAGCTCGTTGTGGAAGAGGATTAAAATGAGGTGTACAAGGTACATTTTGTCAAAAAGCTTAAATAAACATGTTTATTTCTAAGGGTTTTGACAAATGGCCTTTAATTAAAGATGAGGTAGTACACTCAAAAAGCAAAATATGGAGTGACATAGCTAGTCCGTAGAATAAAGAACAAGATATTTGTTTATTCCATTCATCTGATCTCATTCCAAAAAAGTAAATCAAATAAAAAAAAATCCACTGCACCTTGTTTCCAAATGTTTCGCTTCACATCAAGGAACCTTTTTTAATTGAAAATTGTTTTTCAACTTTTTTTGGAATGACTATGACCTGGGTGACTGAGAATCTTCACCAGCATCTGATCTCGTTAACATTTATAAACCATCTCAAGTGTTTCATTGTCTTACCTCTTCATTGGTTGAGGAAAGGGCCTCTAAAATGACCCCCTGAACCTCCTTACTCCCTCCCAGACTGCTGTTCCTCCCCACCTCACCCAGACACAAAAGAGCCAGGACACGAGCCGACTCCGGAGAGCTGGAATTCTTCACCTGAAGGAAGAGGGAGAAAGACTTTAATAAGGCACACACTCAGGATACATACTCTTAACATCCATAATAACAGAAAAGAGTCTCTGATATATGAGAAAGGTATACATAAAAGAGGTAAGAGAAAAAAGGTATTTTTTCTTTATATAAACATTAAAAAAAATGTCCTACCTTCTCAACCCTTTTCATATCTTATGGTTGTGCTGGGCATTGGCAATATAATCGCAACTTTTAAAAAACCCAACAATTTTCAAATTGCAGAGGCACTCTATTTTGGTCGCATTAAATTTAAGAGGTAAGACACTGACTTTCTCCCTCCAGGATTTTATGTGGAGGTAACAAGTGTGAAATGGGTTTTGTCAGCACACAAAAGGGAAAGGAGGGCTGCAGCTACTGCACAGATCCAGCCATGCAAGTAGAAGTAAGCACATTTCCACACAACAGTAACAGCAAATTAATTCGACAATAGACTCTGGACAAACCAGCTTTAAGGTAATGAAAGCAATTAAACTGTGTTGTGAAATATCTACATGTTTTTAATAAGTGCAGTACAAAATCAAATATAGATTTGATTGGATTATCTGTGAAAGGTCCTTTATAAATATGCTGGCATGTGCATGCACATAACAGTCACACACCTGTTGTATTAGGCTTGTTACAGTGCCAGCCGTGTCTTTTGGTGAAGCAGAGGAAAGAGCAGCCACACAGCGAGCCACAGAGTGGTACGACTGTCTGTGCAGGATCTCAGCAGAGGACTTAGAGCTTTGAAATGGCTCCATAAGAGACTTCACCAACTGACTGTTAGAGAGGAAGATGTGGAAATAAGAAGAAAGAGAAGGAAAGGAGTCTGTTTTATATACAGGTGTTAAAGGAAATAAAAGGGATCAGAAAATGCCCATTAGGCTCCGTATTTTTTTCGTACATCAAAAATCATTGCAAATGATAAGAACTGATTTTTGTTACTAGACAAAATTCTTGACCGTTTGTTATCTATTTGTGATTTTCAGGGTTATGATAAATAAGAAAAATATGCCTTTAAATCCTTGGGTTTTAAATATTAAGACATAACAGAAACAGTGATGTCTTATACATTATCTATTTAGCTTTGATTTCAAGTGTTCATTTCAAGTATAAACAAATCTTTGACAGAGATCGATACAGTGTGTTACTGCCTGCCCATTCTGGAAAGATTAATTAATTAAACATTATTTGGAAATTCACAGTTCAATGTTAAACTCAACAGTTCTGTTACAGTAAAAAAAAACAAAAAACTAGTATAAATAAACTGTATAGATGTGTCAAAGTACAAGACATCTGGACCAGTGGTCATCTAACAGATGAGACAGCACCAGAGATCCTTGGTCATAATGTGAACAAGCATGTTTCATGGAAGGCAGACAGCTTATCAGGACTAATATTTCCTTTAAACTATCATCGTCAGGCATGGTTTTGGTGGGGTGATGGAAGATGATGTTTAGCGGAAGAACAACCTGGGCCCCTTTTTGTCATTTTATTCCCCGTTGGACCTTAAGCCTCTAAGTAGGTCTACTTTCTTTACGCCATGACCATGATCTTCGAATCATTTCAGAATATTTCTGTAACAGAATAGAGCAGAGGTATCTAGCTGTAAGACCCCTGGAATAGAACAGGGAACAGCCTGATCATTGACTTGATTATACATTAAAGGTTTGCCATGAAAAGCTGGATTGCAAGTTTCTAACCCAACCTTAGTCATGTTGCTCCTAAATCCAGGAATGTATTTTTTTTCTAATCCTGATTGATGTCATTTGAAAGAATTCTGCTGCGTTTTCTTTGTTGCACAAACAGAAACTCTATGCATACATTTCCATCTGCTCAACATTTGAAGTTAGGCTGGTAAGGAGGTTGTTCCCCAAAATCTAGCAATACAGTACATGCCCCCGGTTATCCTCTCCTTAATGCAGTGCAGTCGGCCTGTCCCATCCGCAGAAAAATACTTCCAATGCATGATGCTACCACCCCCGTGCTTCACAATAGGAATGGTGTTCTTGGTATGGTACTCATTATTCTCCTACCTACAAACATGGTTAGTGGAATTACTGTATGACCAGAAAGTTCTATTTTGGTCTCATCTGACCACATGACTTTCTCCCATGACTCCTTGGTCATTGGCAAACTTAAGACATGCCTTGACATGTGCTGGTTTAAGCAGGGGAACCTCCCGTGCTATGCATAATTTGAAACCATGACGTCTCAGTGTATTACCAACAGTAACTTTCGGAAACGGTGGTCCCAGCTCTCTTCATTTCAAAGCAGACCTTTTTTCATCAAGCTGCTTGGCAATATCCCGATAGCCCTTTCCAGCCTTGTGGAGGTGTACAATTGTATCTTTAGTGTCTTTGGACAGCTCTTTGGTCTTGGCCATGTCAGTAGTTGGATTGTTACTGATTGTTTATGGGGTGGACAGGTGTCCATATGCAGCTAACGACCTCAAACAGGTGTATCTAATTTAGGATAATAAATGAAGTAGAGGTGGACTTTTTGAAGGCAGACTAACAGGTCTTTAGAATTCTAGCTGATAGGCAGGTGTTAAAATACTTATTTGCAACTGTATCATACAAATAAATATAACAAATATATATATACTGTGATGTCTGGATTTTACTTTAAATTATGTCTCCCACAGTGGGAGACATGCTCCTACAATAAGAATGTCAGACCCCTCCGTGATTTCTAATTGGAAGAACTTGCAAAATAGCAGTTTGTTCAAATACTTATTTATATATTTTCCTCACTGTAAAGATGGATGTATATACCTTTTTTTATTATCATGGGGTAGACTGGATTCAAAATACAACCTATAATTGACATAGTTTTTTTTAATTGTCCCTCATTTTTTGTGTAATAAACAATAATCATGTGTAAATTTTTCTTTTGTTTTGAGTATAGAACCAGGTATAGACCGAATCATTTTAAGCTTGCAAGTGGTTTTTCATGACTTTCTTTTCATTATGGCTTAAGTCTTTAAGTAGAAGGATGGCTTTAATACATGTATGGAAAGCTGAATTTCTCAACTTGGCCCTTTTCAGGATTTCTTATTTTTTTTCAGTACACATGAGAGACTTTTTTTAATCTATACTTTCTATGTCACTTTGAGGAAATAAGTTCCACATTTTTGTGTTGCCCAAACAGAAACTGTTGCTGTCCTGTAATAACAGAGCCTCTGATGACATCTGACATGCCATCCTCATGTCACAGAAAATGTCCCCTGAAAGACGCTGGAACTCTCCAACGGGCAGATCAGGTTCCTCGCCACCATATGAAGCCAACAACTGTGGCAGGTTTAAGGTTAGGATATTTTACAGTCAGGTCATTTATCAGTTTTGGCACCGGTTAATGTTCTCCATGCGTCAGCCTGGGACAGCCTTCATTTTGACAAAGTTCCTGCAGAGTCACAGAAGGCATTACACATCAGTTTTACCAGCCTGAGTATTACTGCCTGTGATTAGTGAAGCTATCTTTATCAGCAGAATTTGCGGAGTTCCCCTGGAAAACACTAATCACATCATTATTGATTCCTCAAAACAACAAAGCTGCTCTGACTCAGTTGTGACTCAAGAGTGCGATCCACACACTGGAGACACAATTTCGTCTGGACTAGTGACGTGAGGGGAGCTTTGATTGAGTTTCACTGTTTTTATTTTCTGTAATATATATACTGTAATAGTTTCTAATCAGCTTAGGGGATTTTGACATTGTAATTGGAAGGTTTTCTTGTGCTCTGATGAAATAACAGCTGTTTACCAGCCTGGGGGACAAACATTTTAGCATGATTGTAATTTTATGGAGCTGGCTGAAATATATCGCTAATTGCAACATCAGCCCCAAAACTACGAGATTATTATCTGCAATTCTAAACATTCAAGGGTCAAAAGAATTTGTAGTAACAAACTACTAGCAGTTATTGCTCTTGAACGACTTTCCAAACCTATCTGCAGTTCCCCGAATACAGAAACATTTAGATGCTAGGACAGTTTGGACTCCATCCTACCTGTAGCCCAGATTAGTAGCCTTACTCGACACCAGGGCCTGAAGGAAATCCAGTATAGCCAGAAGTGCACCGCCCTGCAGCATTGGAGAGTGGATGAGCTTGAAGACTCCCGGCAGAACAGAGGAGCTGATCTTTGCCAGAGAGGAGGGACAGGCTTTGGCCATACAAGTCAGCAAGGTAATGGACACCTGAACAGGCAGGAGACAGTTTCTAGTGAATGGAACATTTAATCAAAAAGGAAACCAACCTGCACCTCTCCATCTTCACCATGAGGCAGTCATTAAAAATATATTGTAAATTATATAAACACAACCTGGTTGTGCACACAACATGATATCTTAAAAAAAACAAGTAAAATACTTCTATCTGCTGAACTATCTTCTTCCCAGATAACCATCCATCAGAGGCTTTTTGGCAGAGTAGCCCAACAGAAACCTCTCCTCAGACTCCAGAAGCTCTGCTTAGAGTTTGGCTGTTGAGACCAATATTTAAGTTTCAGGCTTTATTTCCAGGCAGAGTGTATGAAGACAACAGGCCACTGCCCATCAGCTGCCCAATACAACTTGTTATTGTCATGGAAGCAACGCAATACATGTTGGAACTAAATGACACACAAGGCTGAAAAAAGGTGGCTTTACTATTAGAGTGGTGTCATTTAGTTTTTTTTTTCTTTTTTAAAGAAAAAAAAAACAATTCTAATGGCAGTACTAAAAAAAAGGATGCTTCTACTCAATACTGGGCAAAGGGTCTGAATACTTATGACCACGTGACATCTCAGTTTTTCTTTTTTAGAACATTTCCAGAATGTTCTTCTTTCTTTTTTCAGGATGAGGAGTTGAGTGTCCAATCATGAAAAATGAAATTAACCTTTTTTATTTTTATCATGCAAAATTTTATACGTTCCATATCAATATTTTAGGCATTGTTTGAACACTTTGTCTCCCAAGTGTGAGTTGGAAAAGAAAGGCAATTTGAATTTTAACATTAAGCTTATTCCGAGGTGTTCCAGGTCTATGATGGTTAATATTTGAAATGTTTAAAGTATTTAGAAGGTTTTTTTTTTTGGTGCAATATCTGCTACTAAGAATAGTATACCTTAAAGGTTGGTTGAAGTCCTCAAACTATTATCCAGGTGGTTAAAATGTTGTTTGATGTGAAATCACAAAAAATTAAAAGATACAACTGGGAAATCAATGAAAATTCTGCTGCTGCGGCAGCCTGGGTAGCAGTGACAATAAAGAGAGTTTATCTCATTATATTACTACTGTTTCTACAACCTTTTATTTGTCTGTTTAAAAAAAATTATTTACAGTAAATCATTCCAATTTTCCTTTTTATAAGCACATCAGAGTGTGAATACCTGTGAAATATGCATGTCGCTCTCATCCACCAGAGGGGGGATCTCACTCAGCACAGGGTCCAGAGCTGCTGGCTTGATGCTGGCAGCGTGATTGCTGACCAGAGCCATGAGACACGCCAATGTGCTTAGTTTAAGAGCACGCTGGTTCTTCCGCAAGAAAGACCCCAACACGGACAGAGCTTCCAACAGAATGGATGTCAGGTCAATCTGAGGAAAAAAGGGGTTTAATTATTTTTATTTAAGGTTTTAATTGTGAAAACTTTATTTTAAAAGTCTTCTAATAAACCTTTAATGGAGATGCAGTGATGAGAGTGAGGGTCTTAACAGCTGTCAGTCTTGTTATCTCATTTTTTAACCTGTCCAAAAAGATCAGCAAGACTCCCTGCAGCTCAGACCCCAAGTGGTCACCAAGATGGCACACCATGTGACCCATACAGGAAATAGCTCTCTCCTTCACTTCCTGGTCGATGTCTGTTGCTTTGAGCCTCTTCATTGTAACTGAAAACACCTGCAGGAAGGAAGATTTTAATGAAGAACAGGTGACAAAATAAAACGCGTGTGGAGCCAAACAACAGCTGATCCAAGACAAATAAATGAAAGAGCAAAAACAGGGAGAAAAAAATAAATTGGAACAAAACAATGTAAACAACAACAGGCTTATTCACTAAAGGCAAACAATCTCTAAAATGGCAAAAAAAAAGCCTGCATGGAAAAAACCCAATATATATGATACGTGAAGGAAGCAGGACCCTATTTTCTCCTAAACACAAATAAAAGGCCTTCCCAGCTTAGTATGACTAGATACATTAGAATCCAATAAATTGAGGGAAAACACAGAAGCAGTGGAGATTTCTGTAAAAAGCTGCTTGCTAATATATATCGAGAGCTGTATCAAAAACATATTTTTTAAAGTCCCACTTTTTTTGTTTTACAGCTTTCTTGTAAACTCAAACTGTTTCTCTAGTGCTACAAAAATAAAAGCCCAAGGGGGCAATCATTTAAAAAGCTTAAAGGTATAGTGGATTATTTTAATAAATTTTTTAAAAGAACCACCCTCTCCACTGTTTAAAAAAAGCTGCACATGCCCAACCCTGTATCCGCTTCTGAGAGGGAACGCCTATTAAACGAGCGAAAGAGCATGCACAAGCCTATTTCTCCTCATGCATGCTCTGTTTAAAAGTTGCTGTTTGCATAGCTCATACAACCTTACTTTCCAAAAGTAGATTTGCAATTATTCGACTATGTCAGACTCACCACAGGTAAGGGAAAATGGAGACAAGCACATAGTATGGCCTTACATAAACATATCACCAGAATGAATGACAATTAGGAGGACCACTTATTTTAATTATCCCCCCATAAAAAGAACACCCTTCACTATACCTTTAATAAAAAAAGATAAAAAAATGAAAGGTACCTCCTTGATGAAAGGTTTAGGGTCAAATCCTCCAGACTTTGCCTCCTGTCCCTGCGGCCTCATCACTTTGACAAGCTGCTGAGTGACCAGCAAAGCCTCTGAGGTGATCTTATAGAAAGTGTCCTCAACACATGTTAAAACTGCAGGTAGCAGGACCTGTAGGAGCGATAGAGTAGATAAGCATGAAAACCTTCATATGACTGGAAAATATCTTCTCTGTTAGAGAACTTATCATTTTACTGCAACAGTGTAAAATTAACCAACAGACACTTTATGGTGGGATTTCAAGCATGATTAAAATCATGTTTTAAACATGTTTTGAAATAGTTCTGATATAAATTCATCACCCCCCACAAAAAAGCAATATTCTATATACTGCTTTAAAGTCAACAGGGCATATTAAAGGAGGTGTGAAGAACCTGCATGTGTGGCTGAAAAGCTTGAGGAGGGTGAGAGATGAGGAGAATGTGGAGGAAAGAGAGAGCATCGATCCTCATGGTGGAAGAGGTGGACTTGTCTGTCAGAGAAAAAACAACACCTGGAGGAAAGGATGGAGAGAAGGAAAGAGATGAAGGAAAAGAAATACAAGTGAAGAAGAGATAATTAAAGCTAAAGAGAAGGACAGAGATTATGTCAGTTTGAAAAGTAGAGACAAGCAGAAGAAAGCTTTAACTTCCTGAGGATACGTTGATGTCTGCTACAGAAATAAGGGTATTTTGTAGATATCCCTGTGCATGTGTACCAGGTAAAAGGGCGGGTATGTGATCTTCCAGGGATCCAGGAGCCGTGTGAGCGAGCTCCGTGAGAAGACAGAAGCAGCCCTGTCGAGATTTAAGGCTCTTTTCCTTCAGCTGTTTATGGAGAGACTTCACAATCCCTGGAATCTGAACACAGATAGACACATAAAAATGAATACCAAACAACTGGATTCTAGTTGCTAGATGCAAGTTTCCTTTCCTGCCTGGAAGCTTAAAAATTTTGCTATTTCATAAGGTTGGCAAAAAATATTTGAATCATTTGCTTTTGATACAAAGAGTTAACTTGCATCCCTGGTAAAGGTGAGTAGAAAGGCTTAAAACAAAAGTAAACTCATTGATGCTATCATTAATTATTTGGATTCCTAAAAAAAATGCTATACAATATATTTTTACTTTACACTTAAGGGCACCTGTTTCTTCAGCAAAGCAACCGCTGGTTCTTCCTCCCGGGCCGTCCCTGGCTCCAAACAAGCGGTGATGACGCCGTGATGACCTGAACCACCACGCGTTTGCCTCAAGAGGGTGGAAAAAGCAGCAAAGACGTCAGCCCTCACATTCTCCTCACGCTCCTTGAATCGGGCCAGCAAAGCTGGGCAGATGGAGGAGTAGAAGGAGAGCAGGAGGTCTCTGCGTGTGCTGATCAGGGCCTCTAGACACTTGATGGCGGAGCGGCGAACCTTCCAGCTCATGTCATCATCATCACTGTACTCATCATCTGATTCTGAAATGGTTTAGGATGCCTTTATAAATTACCTTTAATGTTTATGAAATTCTTAAATCAATATGATAATTATAAGCTGGCTAAACTGAGAAATGTAATTCAGAGTTTTTGTCATGAGAACTTCAAACAGAAACAGACATTTCTCTACTTTGAGAGGAGCAGTGAGAACTTTTTTGTACTATTTTGACAACAACAGTGAAAAAAAAAAGCTGAATTTACAGCATTAAAAAGTAAAAAAACTGATTTATTTTCTTTTTATCCCCAAGTTCTACGTAAAGAAAACAGCAGATCAGAGCCACAGACCTTCATCAGCTCTGTCCTCTATGTCCATGCTGTCCTCATCTTCCTCGCTATCATCATAGTTGTAGTTAGGGTCATAGGTCATGAACTTCAGACAGAGTTTGGTCACTGTGGCAACATGAGGTGACATTTCCTTTGGACACCTGTTAAAAAGATAATGACACAATTTCAGTATAAAACAGTTAAATCCCTTGATAAATATTATGGCAAGGATCTTTGTATTCATTTAGTAATTGCAATGTGGACATATTTGACTTAATGCATCAAACTCTTTGACCAGTTACACATAGAGCCATGGAAATGTGATATTTGCTCCTAGATCACTTTTTTATGGATCTATTTTATATTTTATTTAGATTTCAAAAAGATTGGTCTCTTTTCATGGCATAAATATTTAAAGGAAGATAGATGGATATCTCAGACGTATTTAGTAATGAAAAAGGAAACAGAACATGTTTTAACTTATCGACCCAATAAAGGACATTAAATAGTATTTGTACCACTTAAACTCAAGTAGAAGAAAGTAAATATGGTATGGTTTCTGAAACAAATATAAATCTGAATAGTGTATCATGCATTTCTAAACATCCTCCTAACACCTACCCAATTGCTACCAGAAGTCATCTACAGTGTAAACAAAAAGCCACCTCTATGTAATTTAATCCCAGTGTAAATAAATCTGTTCTGAAAGACTTCAAAGGTTTGTTAGAGAACATCAGTGAACAAACGGCATCATGAAGAATAAACAATTCTCCATACATGTCAGGGAGAAACTGGTGGAGAAATTTACAGCAGGGTTAGGTTTTAAATCAACAGTGAGCTCATGGACAAAAAACCCCTAAAAAAAAACTGGAAAGTGCAGAGGATAACTGCACACCAACTGTCAGGGTTCTGCTCTCCATAGTTATTTTCTGTCTGTTTGGTATTTTTTTTTTCTTTTTACAGTGTCCTGTCTGGCAATGTGGTAATAAGAATAATTGTCTTGATGCCAAAAAGAGCCCAACAGATTTTGCTTTCACAAGTGTAGCAGTACACCAATCGCCAGAGTGTTCTCCTTGATTTATGCATATAAAAAGTTTTAGTATAATTCATGCAGTGACTATTACCAATTATACGGACACTGCAATGTAAGTAGAACAGGTTAGGAAGAAGAGAAAAAAGGAGAAAAGATGAAAGAAAGAGAAGATAAAAGGGAGATAACAATAAAACATCTTCAGTCTGCATCATTACCATTAGATGTAAAAAGAACAGCACAACCAACGGATATAGTATAAGAGATACAGTAAAGTAACAACTTGATACTATTGCTGAAGTATAAGTAGTATTATTTAATCTGACATGAATACTGTGGTAGCTGAAGATAAGAATATGGGCTTTCTGTATGGAAGTGAAGTGAAAGTACCTGGATGCAAGCACCAGGTACTTTCACTTAAAATATATATATATATATATATATATATATATATATATATATATATATATATATATATATATATATATATATATGTATATGTATATAAATATACTTTTTTTTTTTTTTTTTTTTTTGTTACTTCCTCGTCTCTTGCTCCTCACGTGTATGTTCCCTGACGTTTATTGTTTGGTTTTCATTATTTTTGTATTTTTCTGGATTTTTGCCTCGGTTGCCTACTAGTCATTAGTTAAATAAGCAAAACTCATGTCTACCTACTCATCTTTGCATTTGGGTCCTCAAAGCCTCCACCCAAACTGATACCTATCAAGATATGGAAATCTGTCATAGACTTTATTACCAGAACAGCATTATTCAAGAGAAGCAGCAAAGAGGTCCCATGACAAATGTGCAGAGCTGCAGAGATCCACAGCTCAGACGGGAGCATCTTTTGAGAGGATAAATGTCATTCATTGAATCTAGGAATCTAAATAGCCAGATGATAGTCCTTGGAAAAGGAAAGCTATAAAGAGTACTTATCAGTTGTTTAAGCAATGTGGGGGCTGCAGTAGACATATGGATACAGGAGCTCTGGTCAAATGGAACCAAAATAAATGTTTAGGCTGAAATGTTAAAAGTCACATCAGTGAAAGATGGTGGTGGCAGCATCATGCTTTGGACATGCATTTCTTCAGCCAAGACTTAAAAGCTGAATATAGTTGTAAAAGTATAGAAATAAATAGCTTCTCTGGAAGAAAAATGGTTCAGAGCTGCAAAAGACTGGAACACAGGTTCACAGGTTCGTTGGGAAAAAAAACCAACATGGCATCCAGAAACACACCAAGTCAGGCAGATATTTTTGTGACGTAATTCTTGATGTTCCCCATCTGTTCTAAATACCCTTGAGCTAATGTTCAAAGAAAGAAATGACAGAAATCCCAGCCTCTTGTAAAATTTATTTCCCAATAGACCTGCAGCTTTTTAGTAGGGGCAAAACAGCATTTGGTCAGACACAGATTGTTCAAGTTCTCCTACTATGACAGATAAGAGAGGTCTGTAGATTTAATCATACACACATTTTAATTATAAGAGACAAAATGAGAAAAACAATCTAGGAAAATTTTATGAAGCTCTTCTATCCTCCAGTAGTGCCGTGTATTAATGCCATCTGTTAAACTTCAAACATTTAGCCTCAAAACGGAATTTGAAAAGAGTGAAAGATTTACTTTTTGTGTGAAAGTGTTTAGATCAAAAAACACCATTAGGACCATGTTATATATTGAAATAAATCTAAGACAGCCTGAGACATTTAACATTGAAACATTACAATGTGAACAAAAACTTCCCATTTGCAAAGCTTTCGTAATACTGATTTTTCTAATGGCTGATGATCTGGCTTATGGATGAGAGACATGATTAATATTCAGTGGATTATTGTCAATGGTTTGTCCTCAGATGCATTTAAGCAAATAATAAATGTTTACCAAATGAGAAGAATGCACTAACGCCTGAAGGATTTAGTCCTATAAAATGTTTACAGACTGTGATGAAAAATGAAGCATTAAAAAAAACACAAACTCAAACTGTTCTGTGTAAATACAAAAAGATAAATGTGTGATTACATTCAAGTGATTGATTTGTTGTTTAAACAACAAACACCTAAAAACCTGATCCAACAAACAGCCTTTTGTGATCAGAGCCAAAGAATGCTTCTTATTCTAAACTGGTGATCAGGTTACTTTGACAACCTGTGCTGCAATGAGAAGTGTAGCTGTAAATAAAATAAATGTTTCACATTATGAGCCAGTTTGTTTGTTTGTGACTTTGAATGAAACTTATGCTGTTTGTGATGACCATCACCTGACTTCCCCAGATAATGAACGACCTCTGTGGTCAAGGTCAGGTTAGCAGTAACAATGGATGGAGAGGAAATGAGGGAAATCCAATTTCCCTGAACGAAAGGAAGCAAGGTGTTTGTTTGTTTGTTTGTACCTCCGTATAAAAGCTTCAAAGGCCTGGAAACAATACTCCCTCAGCTCATCGTCCTCCACACTGGTGAACTTCACCACCATGGGGATCACTTTCTCTAAATGCTCTCCTACAAATAAACAGGAAGGAAATCTACAGTTACAATGAACTATGACACAGTATTGCTTCGATTTAAACAGTTACACCCTCTGCATTGTGTTTATTAGGAAAAACACAAACCTGTTTGCAATAAAACATTTCAAGAACGTCACATAAACATGTACTAAACTTTTTAAAGTTTGGCACTATTCTTATCATATAGAGAAAAAACCCTCAAAGCTACATATAATTGATTTCTACTTTCTGTGTGTTATATCTGTGTAATAAATGTATTTTAGATTCCCCGGATGACATAATGTCATTGGCTGCTTTTTGCAGCCACTTTCTAGACAAGATAGTCTTATCAATATCAAAAAAGTCAAAGAAGTTTATCCTCTAAAGCTTGATTGGTTTATCCTACGAAAATGAAAATAAATAAGTGTGCAAGTTACTTAGAATAAGATAGTACTGAGAGGCAAAGCAATGAGACAAACCTTGATCAAAAAGGACAAATTGATCATTTAAACTAAAAAAAAGTTTTGCTTTAAGAAGTATTGATCTGGGATTTCAAATAGGACAATTATTTCTTTGAGATATCAGTAGGAGGAAAATTCTTGTTCTAACCTAACGGTATAATATCTATTTGACAATGAATGCATCCTGAGTAAAGTGAAAAATCTCACCAACTCGATGGCCTCCCTGCCGACTAACGGTTGCTAAGCACTGGATGTACGTCCTCGTCTGGGATGTCTGCTGGTTCTTTGCCAGTTCTTTTAACAGGTGGTCAGTCAGCTGAGAGAAGAGAGTGGGACTACAGCAGGGCACTAAGTGGCCGAGGGCCAAGATGGAGCGCTTCCTGACTGCCATTCTGGAGCTGGTGAGCTGGAGCAGGAAGATGAGCACAGTGATTATGGGTAAGATAGACTGATATAAAGTTGAATTTAAATTTTTTTTTTTGGACTCTGTTAATTTCCCAAATGGTCTACAACACAGCATTTTAGCAATTCAATATTTGATTCTTATGATTGTCTTCACTCATACTTGTATTTCAGACATTTTAGCTTTGCTTGTTTAAATCAAAGCAGCAATAAACCAATGTGAAAAAGTGCAGTGCCTCGTTAAGTAACTTTACTCCATACATGTTATTAAATATTTGTTAATTCCACAGAGTTGTTTACTCCAACACATATTAGAGAAGATGAAGATGGAAAAGGATGTTTTCCTCCTTTACTCTTTACCAGTCAAAATATTTCCCCCTCCTAATTACACGCTACTTTATCTCAGTCTATTACATACACTGCTAAATCTGTGGTTACAAAGTGACCAAAAATGAAACGGTTTAGAGGTTCAAATAGTTTTTGAAGAAGTCTCCATATTTTCCATCTGTTTACCATGAGTTTGTTACCTGAGGCAGCAGGCTGGAGAGCAGAGAGCTGTGAAACCCAACTAGAGCACCGCCCAGCCTTCAGGGGGAAAAACAAAATTCTTCAAATACAAAACAAATACTTTAAATGCTTCAGTTTATCTGCTGTTTTGCTTCTGTCTCTCTTGTATTCTGTTGACCTGATAGCATCAAACATGTCTAAGATGGAGACAAAGTGCTTTACAGGTGTGGAGCTAATAAGGCGCTGACCTCCATAGGAGAAGAGTTCAACAGCCCCACATACATACAGTACACACACGGCCTACTGCTTGATGACACTTCGGCTTCAGCAGGGTTTTACAAACTTTAATGTTTACCATTCAGACAGCTAAATATAAAAGATGATACTTTATAATGCATGCCTATATCATGTCACTTTTTCTCATGTTATATTAAAAAGAAAACATTTTTTTACCTTCCCAACATGTCAGAAAGGATGTCCAGAGCCTCCAATTGAACCGACACGTCTTCTTGCTTCCCCATGGCACCAATCAGCTGGGAAGTAATCTTCTTACACACACTGGCTGTGAGATTCACACCTGTCCACCAATATTAACACAAAAATATACAGAGATATAGCTGAAGGGAAGAGCTGCTTCTTTATTCAAAACACAAATCTCAGTCCTGTGGGGTGATCATCGATATAGGTTCCACTTTCTCCGCTATTTGATGAAAACACACTGTTTATTGATCATCTCTATTGTGTTGGAGCTGCCTGGGTAATATCAGACAGAAACCGGATAATTGACTATTTTGGCTTAAAGAAGAAAGGAAAAATCCCGAACCAGTGTTCACCTGAGGCAGACAGCGGCAGCTCAGCAATCACAGCCTTCAGTCCCATGCTGGAAATGTCTCTCAGCTGCTCCTTGTCTGACATCATGTTGGCACACAGTATGTCCACCATCGCCTCCACCTGAGGCTCCTTCACTTTACTCACCAGAGGGGCCAGACTGAAAATCAACAGTATTTTACTTCAACAAAAGCCTTTAAGAAAGGTTTCTTTATGATGCAGACAAAACACTCTGTGTCTTAACTGCTCTATCAAAATTAAATAAAATAAAAATCAATATACACTTAACTGCTGATAATTTAAAGTTAATAAAAATGCTTCTTAAATAAAAACAAAAAAGTTAAAATAGGTCAGACATTCTTTGTAAATGTATAAATAGTAGACAAATTCCTTATAGCTGATCTAGGAAAACACTGGTTCAAGTTCATCCCAGATAAATTTGGTAAATTGTATAATTTCACTGCATCTAGACACATTGCAGATATGTCTAGATGTGTCAATATGTCAGTATACACTATGTCTGTGGTAAGTTTTACCATTTTACTGCCAGGTTCTGCACCTCTCCATTCTTGTCCTCCAGCAGTCTGAGCAGCATGTTGACCACTTTTCTCTCACTGTCCTCGTCCAGTTTAATGCTGTCTTTCTGCAGTTCCAGCATCAGGTCATTTGTGGCCATAAATCTGGACTCACACCAATGCAATGCAGAAACAAACAGGCATTCAAAATGAACAGGACAATAATAAGTAAAAAGACAGGGATTAAATCAGTAAACAGGAAGAAAGAAAACAAACATGACTGATGTTATTTTCCCACACAGTTTGATCATTTGCTTGTTAGAGCATACGTCGTTTTCTTGGTTGTCAGTTTAAGCTATTTGTTCTGCTCTTGTTCTAACTGGCCTATGCTGGACGCAGTTATTAGTTTGGTATGATAAACCTCAGTGAAACACCTCAATCTATCACCAGAGAAAGACAAATTATGTTAAGTATCCCAAAAATTTCTGACATGTTATTTTTTTGAAGGGTACAAACATGACCTAATTCTTGTCATTATGTGACAAGAATAATGCATAAATAAACAAGGTAAGACCTTGTTTATTTAAAGAGAATGCATTTTATTAAAAATGAAGAGGATAGTTGCTCTGAGTTCATGATAGCGCATGGAACGGATTAACAAAATAAAGATAAGCATCACAAACCTTACTTAGTCAGGACATTTGTCATGCAAATAGGGATATCCAAAAGATCAGATTGACAAACTAGAGTTGTTTAAAAAAAAAAAAAATAACTTTTTTGAGTTTAAATAAAATAGATTGTGATAGTCCTAATGTAAAGCAGTATACTGACACAATGGCAGTGGGAGTAATGTAGTTATCATCTTTCCAGGCAAGCTTCACATATTTAAAATTAAGAATCAGTCTAAGAAAAAAAAGGGGTAAATAATCTGCATACAAATGCATAAGAAAATCATATACAATTTGGGACTAACAACAATCTATTGAAATAATCTAAACAGTGGCAGTTCCAGGTCAAATTTGCTAATGGGGCCGGATTGGAGTCAGTGGTGTTTCAAAGGGGCACAGAAAAAAAGCAAGTTGCAAAAAAACAGGGCCACAGATCAATGTGTATTAAGTGAGAATTGGAACTAAAAAGCCAGTTGTGGGTCTGGATATCCCAGTATTGCAGATGGAAAGTAGGGGTGCACCAATTTATTGGCCCAGGTTTCCTTTATTTTGGAGATCAGTGATCAGCCGAGACTTAAAACCAGTCTGATCCCACTTACATCATTAAAGGTATGAAAAACAGCCACTGTCTCTACACTTTTCATTTATATTTTTGAGTGCTATTCTGTGCAGTTAAAAGAAGCACATAGTATTTCACAGGTATTGTTCCTTTTTTTTCAATGAATTAATATTAAAACATTTAAGCCGCATTGTTATCCTATAACAACTGCTACCAAGAAAAAGTTGGTATTACATGTTGATCCTAATGTCAGAATAAGGACCAGTTCTACAGGGGCCAGCTGGGGCCAGTTCCCCTGCTGGCCCCTGTAGAACTGATCCTGGCCCCTGTCTAGAACCGCACATGAATTTTAAGTAAATACGTTTAAGACAAAAGGGTATCAATATTTGATTCAATATAAAACTGCTATCAATACATTAAAAAAAGTAAAATGGGGAAAAACAAAAAAAAACTTCCAGTTTGCCAAGAATAGCCAAGGGATAGGTTCTTTGTGGTGTATAAATATTCAGAATAGTCTTGTACTTCATTTAGCTTTTTTTAAATATATATACTGCTGAAGAACTTGACTTTTTTTCCTCTGATTTAGCTGATTGACAGCATCACATGATTTGCTGAATAAGAGAGACTGTATGAGCAGTTTATATACACAATAGATCCAGGAAAAAATATAAAAACAAGCAGGTTTTACTTTGGGAGTAGTGCAAACATGTCAACATTTTGACAAAATGGCATTCACATGACATCAGACAGACTAAATGGGTCATCATGTCACTTCCAGAACTTCTGACTAACTCTTACTTTACCTGAAATCTTTGTCAGTTGATGTCATTTTCTCCAACAAGCTGGAGATGTGGTAAGAAACACTCGACATGGTGGTAATTTAACAGCTGACACCGCTACTATTAAATTTAAGATCTATTTAAGTTATTAAAGTTAAGATCTGTCGTAAGAAGTGAAAGCGGGGCAACAGGTTTACCCTGACAACATGGCGAGGCTGGTGGGCTGAAGGGAGAAGAAATAGCCTCTGGAACCTGACACCTGCTGGGCCCTGATAAAAATAGATGGAAGGTCAAGAGTGGGTTGGTTTGTGCTGCTCCCTGGTGGGCATGAAATATACACCATTGTTATAATTGACATGTCAGAATAGAATAGAATAGAATAGAATAGAATAGAATAGAATAGAATAGAATAGAATAGAATAGAATAGAATAGAATAGAATAGGAAGCAAGAGGAGGTTATTTATTGTCATTAATAGAAGAGAATAGAATAATATCAGATATATTTTAAATACAGTTGCCAAACTCATCCAGAGCCATAGGTCTGTTGAACCATCCATTCCACCTGCTCTTAGCAGTAGTGATTTCATGGGATTCTTTAAAAATGGGTTTGATTCTATTAGAAATAAGATAGTTGTCAACCCTCTAAATATGATTGGTTTATCTCTGGAAGTTGAGGCAGCATCTGAGGTAACTATAGAACCTGAATCATGATTAGACTGCTTTGATTCAGTTGAACTTACAGAGCTAGAAAAACTTCTATCTACATCTAAGCCTTAAACTTTTATGTTAGATCCAGTTCCAACCATGTTATTGAAGGAAATTTTCCCTCAGATTTCCTCCTCCATTTTCGATGTGATTAACCTATCCCTGATACAGGGATATGTACCTCGGGCTTTTAAGTTAGCTGTAATTAAATTGTCTCTTGACCAAGATGACTTGTTCAATTATAGTCCTACATATATCTATATCTAGTCTCCCTTTCTTATGTAAAATACTAGAGAAAATTGTTGCCAAACAAGGGTGTTACCAATTACACCATAATTAACTTTTTCAAGAGTTTCAAACTAGTTTTAGAGCTCATCATAGCACTGAAACAGGCACTGGTGAAACTCACTAATGATATTCTCATGGCCTCAGATAATGGACTTATCTGTTCTTGTCTTGTTATATCTCAGTGTTCTATTTGATACAGTCAATCATAATATTCTCTTAGAAAGATTTGAACATTTTATAGGAACTATAAAGGGAGGCACATCTTTTAGTTATCAAGGCAAGGCAAGGCAAATTTATTTGTATAGCACAATGCAAGGTGCCTTACATGATTAAAATATAGGAAAATAATCAGAGTCAGAGTCCTTTCCTGTAAAACCAACTACCAGTTTTAGTCCCTGAGGCAGACACCCTGTCTACTTTTAAGGGTAGGCTTAAAACTTTCCTTTTTGATAAAGCTTATAGTTAGAGTGGCTGAGGTTATCCTGAGCTATCTCTGCAGTTATGCTTAGACTGCTGGAGGATATTGGTACCACACTTTATCTTTTATTCTTCATTCATTTCATGCTTCATTCTATCTCTATCCTCCCAAAATGTGTTAGTACAATCCTTAACGTTGTGCTCTCTCTGCTCTGAGTAGCTTGATCTGGTCTGCTGCTGTTTGGCTGTGACACCATCCTGGAGAAAGGCATTGGCTGTGTTGCTGCCATCAACACCTTTGTTTGTGGATGTCAGAGCTTGACCTGTTTTTCAGTGTACTCCTGTTTCTATGACTGTGCCTAACTGTATGTGCTCTCTTCGTCTTCTGACATGGAAGCTGGCTCGGAGCTCATCTGCCTGGCTGTGTCTTATCTGCATGGGGCCACCTGTGGAGCTGGTTGGCAGTTGCCTTTTATATCTCTGCTTCTTTTGTATCTCTACATATGTCTCTTTGAACTCCAGTTGGTCTCTGAAGATGGTCGCTCACACTGAGCCTGATTCTGTTGGAGATTTCTTCCTGTTAAAAGGAGTTTTATTCTCCACTGTTGCCACAAGCATGCTTGGTGTGAGGGATTGCTGTCAAGTCAATAGGTTGATGCAATCCGCTTGTTTTGCCTTAGATAAAAAACTGAACCGATCTGACTGTATGATCTGGTTGAACTGTCTCTCTAAAGTGCCTTTAGATGACATGTGTGAATGGGTGCTATATAAATACACAGAATAGAATAGAACTATGACAAAAAATGAGAAAAGACTCTGCCAATAATTATAGCAACTAACAAAAACAATACATTTAAATGCACAAAATTACTTAACTTGTTTCATAAAAGAAACATAAAGGATGCATAATATAATATAAAAGGATGTTAAACTGGATTATTCTATACCATTTAATACTTCAAAACTGATGGATAATGATCTAGAGTTATTGTCAACACAGAAATCAATTAACAGAATTAGATCTTATGTCCTGTTCTTCAAATTGTTGAGATTTGTGATGAACATTGATTATTCTCCTTGATGCAAATGGTATAGACTGGAACTGAATGACCTTTCCATTATAGTTAATGTATCCTACACTGCTTTTCAGAAGGAATTCAGAAGTAACGTCTTCAAACTTGGAAACAAAGTAGAGTGGGTTTTTTTTTTTACTTTTTTTTATTGACCATGACCTGGAGGACTGAGAATCTTCACCAGAATCAAAAGTGATACTTTTCTATTTGTCATAATCTGTAGAACACCCAACTTTTTGACACAGTACCCTAACATTTGGGGCCTCCACCCCTCTTTCTTCCCATCTACAACCTAACAAAGCATCAGTTATGATCATATTTTTTTAGCCTTTTTTCTCGCTCTCTTCTAAAAAAAATAGTTATGTTTATTAATGATATTCTTTGAAAACGTGCAAAGCATTGTTTATCTTTTAAAAACTAATAGCTTTAGCAGTTAAACTCACCTTCATAGTAGTGATTTAATGTAGAATATGCTTGCTAATTCAGAATTTACCTTATTGTATTGTTTTGACTATACTTTTGCAAAAACTGGATGAAATATAAAACAATTGACACATGATTATGAAATAAAAGTATATGATGAGCATTCAGGAATATGTAAAAACAAAGCACTGCATTTGTTTAAAATGGTTCTTTACACTACTAACACTTTGCTCCATGAATGTTCAGTATTATGAAAAATTTAAAAATACGTTTTACTTTTGCCAACAACAGTTCTGCTTTAATCTGGAATGCCTTGTCCTGTTTGGGGAACCATTTGTGGTAATTCTTTGTTCCTACCGGTAGGTAAAGAGGTCGGACTCGGTGGAAGCGGTACTTGTTGCCACGTCGGACTGTTTGGTCAACTGGCTAATTTAAAAGAGACTTGCTGAAAGATTTTTATAGGGATAAAACCACAGTCATGGTGAGTGTAATTTCTTTTAAACTCTAATGCTGGCCAGGTTGCTTCAGGTCAACTGTGATGTCTTTCATTCACCGTTAGCTGCTGACGTGCTCGCATAGAATTAGCAATTCGTTAGCATAGTGGCTAATGGCAGCCGACTAATCTGTCTGTGATTGGTACATAATTTGAATTTTTCGCACTGTTTTTGACTTTAAGGTATCCGTTATTAACACAGTGGACACCTCGCACGAGGACATGATCGTAAGTATTTCGGTTCTATTTTCCTTTTTATCTTATTCGCTGTTGTTCTGAACTGTTAGCCTTTAGTGGCTTATCATTAAAACCTTTTTTTATTTTACCATATTGATATGTCTGTCAGCCTTGATAAAATTACCCTGAAGTGTTTAAGATTGGCTAATCACTTATTAAAACTTTCATTTGCAAAATTTGGAAGTTTTTTTAGGTCCGTAGTTTGTAGAATGTATTTCTTTTTTGCTGTGCGTCTCTATGATTCTTATAGAGAAACAGGTTTTATCTTAATTATGGCTTTCAATTAAGTTTCAGCAAATAGCATGTTAATAATTTAAATATCATTGTATAATAACTTAATAATTATTTGATAACTAAATCAAATATTTTAATTGATTATTTCAGTAATAGATTTATGTAACCTCTATGCAAACAGAATTGTCTTTGAAAGTCCCATATCCTGAGCTTTAGCCCCATGTAACAAACATATTACTTCAGTTCATATTTTGAGGTTATTTCTTCAGATTCTTCCACTGATGTCAGAAAAATTCTGTAAAAGTTTAACATTACTGTTTCTGTTTGTTGCAGCATGATGCCCAGATGGATTATTATGGGACTCGTCTCGCCACATGCTCCTCTGATCGCACCGTCAAGATCTTTGATGTCAGGAATGGAGGACAAATCCTGGTGGCAGATCTCAGAGGGTAAGAAACATAACCAAATGCACTTAAACCATAATTAAATATTGTCATGTTCCCAATTAAAATTCTTAGTTATTCATAGGTTTTAATTTTACTTTGCAATGCCCAAAATGTTGCCTTTTTAATGATGAAATTTTCCATTCTGTTCACGTAAGTAGCTTTGTAAAACGAATGAACTCTTGTTCCATAACGCATGTTCTACTTTTTAGACATGAAGGCCCCGTGTGGCAGGTGGCGTGGGCTCACCCGATGTTTGGCAACATTCTGGCTTCCTGTTCTTACGACCGAAAAGTCATCATCTGGAAGGAGGAGAATGGAGCCTGGGATAAGATGTATGAGTACAATGGACACGAATCATCAGGTTGGTAGTGAACTGTGAAGAAGACTTAATTATCTGCACCCTTCTGCTTAGCTTGGTAGTGACAATTTTTTTCCTTGAATGAGTAACACATTCAACGACACAATGGTTTTGTTAGTTGCTACATTTAGTGGTAAATCTGTGGTCCCTGTATATGGATGCTGGAAGAGTTTACGTGATTTGTTTTTGGAGCTCTCATCACTCATTTTATTGGTCAGATGAAACAAAAACAGTCATCTAATTTATGTGGATGTTTCAAGGTTGTAATTACTGCCAAAGGTGTATTAAATCTGTATTAAGCATTAGCTGACGTTACTTGATTATGTGATGTTTTTTTTTTTTTTTTTTTCCTGTTTGTAGCAAAATTTCCCAAAATCTCAAATTAAGCCTCGGGTGTAGAACTCTGAGAAAAGAGTCATTGTCTTTTTAATAAGTGGAGAAAGTTTGATTTATTATATCAGTAGATTGTGCGCATATTCAACAGCAGACTTAAATTATCTGGTGATGAATTGGTTGTGAGAGAATATTTTCCAGTCCAAAGTAGGATTAGGCCGGCATGAAATTCTGATGGTATGATAACCTTATCATAAATATCACAGAACTATGATTACATCGCTACTACTAAAATGTCTGAAAAAAAAAAAAAGAAGAAGAAATTATTGCTTAATGGGGGCTGATCGTCAGCAGAGTCTCCGTAGTCATATCTCACTTTAATTATCAGTGGAAGCTGTTTTTAGATCACAAGTGTCATGTCAAAATTTTTCTCCATGGCAGCGTCTCACTTCCCTTCTAGTGTTCCTTCATGATTGTGAATTTTAGCCCCTAAATAAATCATTATGTGCAGAAAAAAGCAACCGAATTTAAAACAATTTCTGATCTGGTTCTGATCCTGATAAAACGGCTACCCAGCCCGTGCCAATTCAAAAGAAATTGACCATGTTCTTCTTTCTGCTTCCATGTGTCCACAGTGAACTCAGTTTGCTGGGGTCCATATGAGTTTGGGTTAATCCTGGCCTGTGGCAGCTCCGACGGGGCGATTTCTCTTCTGACATTTACTGGAGATCAGCAGTGGGATGTCAAGAAGATCAGCAATGCACACACTGTATGTTGCAAAGGCACATAAATCCCCCTGTTCTTATTGCTTTTACCTCTAGCTTTAGGGGTTGAGGGCTGTATTAATTGTGAAACTCTTGTTCATTTTTGCTATAGATTGGCTGTAATGCAGTGAGTTGGGCACCTGCTGTAATCCCAGGCAGTCTTATTGATCAACCATCGGGACAGAAGCCAAACTATGTCAAACGTTTTGTCTCCGGAGGCTGCGACAACCTGGTTAAACTCTGGAAGTAAGTCTGCATGGTCCAAATTGGCTGCATTTGATATTTAATGTGGGCTGTGCTTTGAGCATCCTTTGAAAACGTTTTGTTTTTTATGTTGACGTATATTTTTATTTTATTTACATATTTAAACAAAGGCTGGTATCATCTGCAAGACAAAAGATAAAAAAAAAAATGAAAGAACTGAAATCCTCTTTAAGATCTTACATTATCCTAAACAAACTGTCTAATGTTTGGGTTACTGCTTTCCCCAGTGACCCCCGAAGTACTTTTCCAACAGCCTTGAAAGAAGGATTATAGAAAAAAAAAATGTATAATGCTGGAGGATAATGAAGATGACTATAAACCTTTGAGCAGGAAAGTGTATCAAACATTTGTACTATTACCAAATGTTATTTGCAGTTATTAAAATTCATTTAACATGATGTGGTAGTGAATGTCCCACCAGTAGCCTTTAAAGTTCCTTTTAAGTTGGACTCTTATTACTTATTATTGTAATAGTAATGAGAGAAACTGTTTATTTGTAGAGTTACCTTGGACCCTCTATAAAAAAATTGACTCTTTATTTGATACCATCTTAAATGGTCAGTATATTATATTTTGAATGTTGCTTCCTCCCTGCAGAGAGGAGGATGGTCAGTGGAAGGAGGACCAGAAGCTGGAGGCGCACAGTGATTGGGTGAGAGATGTTGGCTGGGCTCCTTCCATCGGCCTTCCCACCAGCACCATTGCCAGCTGCTCCCAGGTACATTTTAAAAGAAAACCATTTTTTAAATATATTTTAATATGAGACTCTGTTTCAACAATGTGGTCTTTCTGATTGTTTATTTGGGAAAACGAAAGACTAAAGAAAAAACTTGCTCTTTCACTTTGGGCTCAATTTTTACCACTAGGTGGAGCCAGAGATTAGATTTCTCAACTTGATTATTCAATATATCAATATTATTAACATATAAACTGTGCTTTTTTATGGTGTACATTTTGAATTAGTTCTCTACCATTTTATCATGTAGCTGAAAACAATGATGTTAAAATACATTTTCAAGGGACTTTTTTCTATGATTGACTTCAGAATTAGAGCAGGGTGTGATTCTTTTAAATATAATTAAAGTTAAGGTATTAGCCCTGCGAGTTTTGATTAGTAGATAACAGACTGGTGACAATCTGCAACAGCTCCTTATCTCACAGAATATGGTTTAACACCAGATATTTTTCACCTGAAAAAAGGGCAAACCAACACTTTGATATAGGAGGTCATTGCTAAAGTTGTTTTCTTTTGTTTATTTAGGATCGTGGTAAATTAAACAGAATTATATTTAAATTCTGGCCTACAATTATCTAATTGTCATAGATATAGCCTACTTTAGGTAGGATATTAATATGCTTTGTAAGGATTAATCCTATTCTATTATTCCTAATTCTTTTTTCTACCTTCAGGACGGCCGTGTGTTTATTTGGACATGTGACGACCCTGCTGGTAACACCTGGACGGCCAAACTGCTCCACAAGTTCAATGATGTGGTTTGGCATGTCAGCTGGTCCATCACTGGAAATATCCTGGCAGTTTCTGGTGGAGACAACAAGGTAAAATCCAAAAAGTTTATTTGTCTACAAGCTATGATGAGCATCTCTGTGCAAATATAAATACGTTTTAAAAAGTATTTGAGGTGCTGATGTTGAATTAAACGGTTTTTATTTCCTTCTGTGTCTGTAGGTGACGCTGTGGAAGGAGTCCATGGACGGCCAGTGGGCGTGTATTAGTGATGTCAGCAAAGGCCAGGGCGCCGTATCTACCATCACAGACAGTCAGCAGAATGAGCAGTGACAATCAAACCTTTCAGTGATGAGCCCAGCTTGAAGAGATATGGATTTAGAAACCAATGGACTTTCAAAGCGACAACAAACGGTTGTCCAGAGTGATGGAGCTTGTTTTTCAGCCATGATTTAGAGTTGTCTTTTTCATCCCAATCACTCCAAGCTCAGTGTTTAGTTTCCCTTCCTTCTGACTGCCAGTACAAATGAAACTCCTGCTGCCCCTCTCCATGCGGCTGTTTTTAAGCATTCCATTTTCATCAGTGATAAACCATTTACCCACAGAGGAACAGCCTCCTTTAAGGCATCTGTCCATCCAGCACCACAATTCAGTTTAACAGATTCTTTTAGCTGAATAATCCAACGTTGCATCTCTGGCTGTGAACAGATTCCTCAGTATATTTTATTTTAAAACCTGCCTTAATCAGTTTTGACAGAAGTTAATATCTGAACTGGGTGCTTGATTACAAATGCAACTTCATTGAAAGCATTTTGGATGAAAACGTGAGTTTTTTCATATTTGATGTTAATAAATAACTTAATGCTAAAAGCCTCTTGTCTCTGTATTAATGTAATTATTTCTGGACCTAAGCATCGAATCCACTGGGTCTGAAGTAGGTCTGCAGTGTTTGTTCCTGCCATTTTCCTTAGTCCCAGACAGGAAGTGAAACGTGCCAGTGGAAGCCCTTCCCTGGAAATAAGATAAATAGTTGTGGTCGAGTTGTTACTGCAGCTTCTTTTTGTAGGTACGTTTCTCCTATTAGTTTAATGGTTTTTACTGTTTACTGTCTGCTTAAAAGATAAAGTTGCTTTTTTTAATTAAAACCTATTTTCCCAGAGTATCTAGCTTCAACAGCAACAGTATATGTTAAAATGAAAATAAACAACCAGAAGTGATACTGATGATTAACCTTTATTGAGCTTTCTATCTCACTATGTACTCACATTTAAGCAGAAAATGGACTTTGCTCTGATGGATTTAAGATTTCATAGATGACGTAAAAGAAGTGCTTGAGGTCAGTCTTATGTCCTGTTGGATTTGCAGCTGCTGTACTTCCTCTTCTTTAATCTGCCGTCTCATTTCTCCTTTACAGAACCGCACTGAATGAGAGAAATTTTTTTTAGCAAGGAAGTTGTAACTATTTGAAGAACCTCTCATGAGAATTTTTTCCTGTTCTCATGGGAAAATCAGACTAATAGTGTCAAAGAGGGACACAGTCTTTGGAGAAGAGAAGATAGTTCCTTCTTGGAAACTTTACAAACTGCACCTGTGGGATGAAACCAGGCCTCTGAAAACAACATGAGGATTTCTAGTATCAAACTTTTATCCCTTTGGTCTGTGATGCAGAAAAGCAGTTTCGCTTTAGACGCCCCTATAGAGTCAGGAACTGGCCTTTAAAGTGCTGATACATACTGCTGGGCGTGCTGAAGTTCACATGTATGTTAGTGTGGTTAGTAGCAACAGAGCCACTTCCTGCAGGTTTGACAGCTGCTCTCTTTCTGCAAACTAAAGCTTTGGTTTCTCTAAAGGCACATACCCTGCAGACTGCTTCTGAATTAGCTTATTTCATCTAAAAAGGTAAGAACTCTACTAGTAATTTCAATCCGTTTTTCCAGTATTGGATCGTAGCAGCAGGAATCTTTATTTCATCTTAATTTTAAAATCTGTAAAAAAAATGAAGCCATTTCTTTCATTGATTTTGGGTAGATTTTAGACAGCTCTTCCTCTTTTTTTTAAAGACAGATGTTTTCATGCAAAGCATTTCTGGCAGTTTAACTGTTTTTCTTATCTTCAGTTTTAGCAAACAGAGGAGTTATCAGTGAGTCACAGTTGGCAGTATATCAGTCACATGACCTAATGCTTTGACTTGATTAAATTGAAAACATTGTAAAAACTGCATTTGCCTATATGTTAAGAAATATTTAAATAATATTCTTACATCTAAAAAAAAAATTAAATCTTGGGTCACTTTTCACCTTTTCCCTTAGCCGTAGTTTGTCTTGATCAATATAGTCTAAAGGTTCTCTGACACCCATTCAAAGATCCCTTTGACTGCTTTTTCAGTCTAGAACAGTGCTGGGAAGATGAACAGACCATCAGTCTTGTGTCTGTGTATACCGTATATATATATATATATATATATATATATATATATATATATATATATATATATATATATATCTATCAGTGTTGAGCTCAGCGTTGAGATCAATGATGACATTCCTGGATTCTTGTCCCTCTTTTCAGTGTGATTTCCTGACCCTTATGTCTTCTGAGAGGTTTTTAGGCCTCCCTTTTGTTTCAATAATTGTTCTTTTGTTTTTTTTTAAGACCATACATAAAGAAGCGTTATTCCTCTGTTTAGTTGGGCAGTCCCATTTTAAATTTAAATAGAGCATAGAAATATTGCTGAAATATCTAAAGGAGATGCTTATTTCACATTTCCCCACTCGGACAAGCGTGTCAGATGATGGATGGATGGATGGCATATGTTAATACCTGTTCACATTGCTTAAAGTATTTATCACTGTGCTTAGGGTTAACCCAAACCCCATATTTATGGTTTATGCTGTAAGGAAAATGTGCAACACCAGACTTCATAGAGCAGACAAGGAAACAGCTGTTATTAAAGGAAGCTGGGCCTCTTGAACTCAGCAAACTGCCTCCATAGCTCAGAATTGATGCTTCTTGACAAGCTAAAAGTTCTCCATACAGTATTGAGAGCCCATTTTGTTCCATACATATATTTTCAAGTAGACTGACATTTCTGTATCATAATCTTGTTTTTATACTTATCCATCCATCATCTTCTGCCACTTAAGCATCAGGTTCACGGAGGGCTTTTTTTTTTTTTGGACTGTGGGAGGAAGCAGGGGTACCTGGAGAGAACATCCACACTCCATGCAGAAAGACAGTAGACAAGGAATCAAGCCCAGGACTTTCTTGTTGCAAGGAAACTGCACTACGGGGCAGCCCTGTGTTAGAAGTTATTACCGCTAGAGAAAACAAGGATGGTTTAAGTTTAGCAAATGGAAAGAGACTTCATCATGGTAACTTTTCCTTTTTGACTGTTTTTTTGACTGTGTGAAACAAGCAGCTACAATTCAACCACATAGCTTCCTCTATAGTTATATTGTTGCCACTCTCCTACTGCTTCAGAATTTTGTTTTTCTATACTTTTTTTTTTTTTTTTTTTTTACATGTTTTTCATATAATTTTTTTCCCACCCAAACAGGCCAAAATGAAAGTAGCAGCATTCAATGTAAGGAACTTGGGACGTCAGAAAGTCACAGACAAAATGGTTTCCCAGTACCTCACTGAGGTAAAGGTTATTTATTTTTAACATGTTAGTGATTTACATTATAGATAGAGTAGGAATTGTATATTGTTTAACTTGGTTCTGTTTTTCTCAGATTATATCCAAATACAGCGTGATCGTGATATTGGAGGTGGTTGATAAAAGCGGCAAAGCCATGGAGAAGTTACTTAAAAAACTCAATAGTACCTCGTAAGTGTAAAGTACAACTACAGAAGAGTCATTTTCTGCCTCACATGTCTTTGTAGTTAGTATGTTAATAGAAGTGTCAGCATGGCTGCAGGCTTTTAGGTTAAAAAGAAGATTAGATAGTTGCTAATATAACATTAAAGGAAGTATCCTGGTTTTTAAAAAAAGATAAATCAGAGACTTAAATGTTGTACCTTAAATGAATGTGTTTTTGTTTTGCATCTCTTCCATCAGCGATCATCCCTATGAAATGATCAGCAGCTCCTGTCTGGGAAGAAACACCTACAAGGAGCAGTTTGTGTGTTTCTACAGGTGGATAGATTTTTACTACAAACAGTGCATACATCATTAGTCATTCAAGTCTAAAATAAACAAATGTGTCACACGTATTTGTGTTAAACATTGAAAGACAATAAAACCTGTCATGGCAACTGAAGAACTTAGAAAGTGAATCTTCCAAGAACAAGAAAAAAGACTACTTTTTTATAAGTGAAGATAGTGTTTACATAATGAATGCACATCTTGACATATTTAATGCCAGTCATCTTATCACCGGATGGATCTGTACTCTAAAATATTAACCTTCAAGGGGAGTGGTTCGGGCATTGTGCTTGGCTTCCAGAGGTTCTGAGTTCCAGCCCCACTCCCACTGACCGCCACTCTGGCCCCCTTAGAAGGACCCTTAACCCCACACTGCTCCCCGGGCAGCGCACAGTGGCAGCCCACTGCTCCCCAAGGGGATGGGTTAAGGGTAGAGGTGAATTTTTTCCTGGTGTGAGGTTATATAAAAATAGAAACTGAATTGCACTGCTCTAATCATTAACCCAACACTTTCCATCTAATATAGTTCAAATTATTTTTATTATTAAAATGGTAACAAGGCAACAACTAACCAAATAGTCTTCCAAGACTACTTTCCAGCTGATAGACCACGAACACCAACATTTGACAATACCAGGCTGAAAACATCACTTGTTCGGATAATCTTAATTTCGCTGCACATTCAGATAGTAGGCTCAAAATTTAAAGTAAACAACATGAAAGCATTGACCTATGCTGCCTTGTATCTTGTTCATAAAACATAAACTAACTTTATTTTATCACTGTGTTGCAGATCAGACGAGGTTAAGCTTACAGATCAATATCAGTATGAGGATAATCAGGTTGGCGATGAAGATGCTTTTGCCAGAGAGCCCTTCATCCTGCGCTTCCGCTGTCCTTCCACAGGTTGGTGCTGTTTGATCTTAAAATAACTTCAGTTCACACCACACAAGCTCCAAATAATGAAATAGTAATACAGTGATAAGGGGAATAAACATTTTATTGGAAGTCTGTTTTAACGAGAAATCAAACGACATAAAGAAGTTATCATTGGACACACAGGCATTAGAGTTTCACCAAAGAAGTTATTTGAAAGAAAAGTTGTATGGGTGAAAATGAAGGTGTGTTTATGATTTTAACCCTAAAATAAAGCCATTACTTATTATAGTTTCATTTAAGGTTTTAAAGTGTTTTTCATCCAGAATTTTTAGATGTTATATCAATATATAAGAAAAATCCCAGTTTAAATCTCTAGCATCATTAAAACATGCTCCCAGCACTATTTCACTGCAGTCAAAATCCTGAGGCTTATCTGTCTGCAATATTTGCTTTATTCAAACATCTAAGAGATCTGCGGAAAATATTCTTCGAATTACTTCCTTAAAAGTCCTGTTTGTACAGTGATGGAGCACCACAGAGAGCAGTTACTCTTTCTACAGCTGTGCGACAGAAAAAGTTTAATCCCATTTTAGTCCCATTGTATAAAATTTATATTTATCTGTCAGTTCATTTTTTCATTCATCCAGCAATCCATCGCAGTTTTTGATGAGTAAATATTTTAAGGCCCATGTAGACATATATACTATAAACTAAAAGAAATTTTGATATTACATGTGCAGCCACCTCTTTTGCTGTATAATGCCTTTTAATTTGCTATAACTCTAAACAATTAGTTTCTGGTCACATCTATGGTATTTATATATTTTGTAGTGTTTATTATTGGCTTTTATTTCCACTTTCAGTTGTAAAAGACCTGGTCCTGATACCTGTCCATACCAAGCCAGACGACTCACTGAAGGAACTCGATGAGCTGTATGACGTGGTGAAAGCAGTCAGAAGGAAGTGGAAAACAGACGTAAGCTGTTAGAATTTTTAAAAATGTATGACTTAAAATCTCTACGTAAAATTTAAGGTGTAAAATTTAAAGGTTTTTTTAACTTCAGAAGTTTCCTATTTAACTGATTCAATTTCTAAACCAGTGTTTCCCAACCTTTTTTGACTTGTGTACCCCTTTGGGCATTTTGCCTACCATGAATCCCCTTCTCAGTCACACGTATTGATAATTATCCAAAGGTTTTAAGTAAAAAATGTTTTACTTAATCTTTGAATTTGAGCATTTAATTCTCAGGAATTTAAAACTACATACATATGTTGTCTGGAATTTAGTAAAGAATTAAAAATAAATACAAAATCAAATCATATTATGAAACTTTGTTTATAAAACTGGAGCTCCTCTGAGTAACTCCCTTATAATCACATTTAAACTTGATGAATCGGGAACAAAAATTATAGCCAGGCTGACTTTATTAGTATAACTTTGTTTTCATTAAGACATCTTAACTGCTTTGATGAGCTCCAATAGATCATTGGGAAAAACATTTGATCCCAGACTGTTCTTTACTTCCAGCCTGTTCCTCTGCTTGGTTTTTGATGTGTGTCACAGCTGAAGATGAACTCAAACAGATAATAAAAACATACTTTTTGTGTTGATCAGGGTTTTTTATTTTTCAATTGGGTCCTCAAAATTCAAAACTGATCCCAGCCTTATTTTATTTCACTACCTCACAAATAAAGTATTTTAATATACCCCTTGCAATGCACTCTTGGACCACTGGGGGTACGTGTACCCCCTGTTGGGAGTCACTTTCACTGTTCAATTTCAACCATGTTATTCAGTTTAGTCTTGTTAAACATTTGTAGGCAATAAAAGGTGCTGAATTATGTGTTTCTGAGCTCATCCTTACAGTATGTTTGAATAAAACTTTGATCTTTACTTCAAAGATAAGTCATTTTTCGTTAGTTAAAAAAGTAGTAGCTGCTCAGTTGGCTTTTATTTGATGCCTAAAGTAATTGTTAAATCTCCCAAACATAGCAGGACACTACCACATTTTCAGGATTGAAGCAGTGGTTTATAATCCAGATTTACAGTTTTACTTAAGACCTCTGACAAAATTCGAACCTCCAAATACTTGTGCGGTTTTGACTCATACTTTATGTCTCTTTCAGAACATTATGATACTGGGAGACTTCAATGCAGATGGTCGATATCTCTCTAAGAAAAAGAAGGAATCAATCCGAATCTCCTCTGATCCTTTCTTTTGGTTGATAGATGATGATGTTGACACAACGACTAGTAATTATAATGACCACACCTATGACAGGTTAGACCCATGTGACGGCATGTTTTAAGTACATTTATCTTCTGCATTAAGGAAAATAATTATTTTATTTTAGTATTTATTTAAATAGATATAGAACAACTGATTGCTACTTTTAACTGTAAGGAATTAATAACTCAGGACAAAATAATAATGTTTTGAAGTTAGATGAATGAATTCCAAATGTTACAATATATTATATAAATCCATCTCTCTGTCAGAGCTTTTTCAATTGCTGCCCCAGAATTGTGGAATGAGTTCCCTTCCTCATTAGACAATCCTCTTCACTGTCTACTTTTAAAAAGCCATCTTAAAACCTATTTTAATTCTTTGGCTTGAGACTCTATCTGTTTTTGACTTTGTGGTTTCTTTTATTGTGTATTTGTTTTACTAAATTTATTTTATTGCATCTGTTTTGTTCCTTTAAACTTCTATGTTGTTTTCATACATTTTTAACTTTACTTGGTATCTACAGCACTTTGTCCCAGCTGTGGTTGTTTTAAAGAGCTTTATTAATAAAGTTTAGTTCACTTGTCATCCAAACATGCATTACTCTATGAACATGTTTCTACTGAACATGGTATATTTCAGTAGTTGAAATGTATTTATGTAGCCATCTCCTATAAAGAGTGAATTTCAATCAACTTCTTTAGACATTTTCTTCAGTTTGTAAAGGTTTAAAAAAAAAATTTGTTTTTTTTCTGAGCAGCCAAATCCAGCCAGTTTGCAGTGCTTTAAATGCTAATAATTACCTTAAATTCTATTTTTTCATTATTTTTTTTAAACTGACCTCTGTGTTTGGGTTCATGTTCATTGGTCCTGTTTTAATTATTATAATACTGGTGCAAACTTAGCTCACATCATCACTCCTCCACCACTATGCTAAATAGTTACTGAGAAGTCTTGGAACTGACTGAATGTTGCTTTACCAGACTTATGATTTGTTCAGAAAAAAAGAAAAAAATGGCATGCTTCTAATCTAATAAAGTCATTTGTTTATTGCTTTGAATGGATTAAGTTAATAGGAAAACAGATTGTCCTTCAATGTTTTCTTGCTTGTTAGTTTAGCCAAGACAAGCAGCTTTGGAAATGCTGAAGGTGCTATTTGTAAAAGGATCCTAGTGAGCTCCAGATTAGCTAGCACCTTGTCTTTATGCCTTCAAGTCAGATCTAGAAGAGTGTGAACTTTGGTTTTCTTTTCCAAGACTCAACCTGCATAGTCCACATCTATTGCCCTGTTTAAAATTCTACTGAATAATAGTACAAGTAAATCACTTTGCTGATTTCTTTGAAACCACATCAGTTAAATACATCATGATGAATCTTCTGTAAACAGGATTGTGGTGTATGGAGAAAAAATGCTAGATGCCATCCTTCCTGAATCCGCCAAATCCTTCAACTTCCAGGAGGAGTTTGGCCTGACTGATGAAGAGGTGATTATCATTAGCATTAAATAGTAAAAGCTGTTTAAGTTGTGCATTAGAAAAATTTAGTTAAAACAATTTCTGGGACAGAAAAAAATCGATCATTTATAATCTTACTGTTTTACTCTTCAAGGCTGAAAGCATCAGTGATCATTATCCTGTGGAGGTGGAGCTTGAGAGTGTCCAAACAAAGCAGAGGAAGCAGGCTTTGCCCCGAACAAGAAAAACATCCACTAAAGGAAAAACTCCACAGAAAGGTAACCTTCACCTTATAGATTGCCATGAACTATTTTGAAATTGCTTTTTTGTCAGAAATTGGTCAGAATTCATTGTATTACAATTTGATAAGTTTGTGTAGATTAGTGTTTCCATGATCAAAATTGTTGCATTAAGTATCATAAACTCACTCAATTCAATTCAAAGAATGTTATTAATCTCCAAGGGGGAAATTGAAATGCATGATAAAATACATTAATGAGATTAAATTAAACACAAATAGACCTCAAATAAAATTTTCTGCACTGATTTCCATATTTCTGCAAGCCAATTTTTCATATTCTTTATTTATAAAAATAAATAAATAAATAATAGCCATGATGTAGTTTTGGTTTCGTTTTACTACATATACTGGTTTGTGTTGGGCAGTCTCCTAAAAGCACAATAAAGATATTAGAATTTCTGTTGAGAAAAAAACTCCGTTTTCATTTCAACCAACAGGAATTAAGAAGAGGACAAAGCCCTGTGGATCCAAGAGTAAAAGTTCAGCAGGAAAAAAGAGAAAAGGACGACCAGTGACATCCAACAGCCCAACAAAAAGGAGACGTTAAGCTATCTTCTCTAGTCATCCGCTGATGTGCTGTTTAAAAGTTTTGATGAAATCTCCTTGCCTGTTTAATAATCAGATAAACACAAAAAGATTTTATAGCCTCAAAATAATTCTTTTTTGATCATTTCAGTTAAATAAGCCTTTAAAGGGAGCATTTGGTCCAGAAGTATGGGCCCTTTTAACACTCTGTAGTCCAATAACTTATTACCTCCAAACTTTATGTATTTTTGCTGGTTATTGCTTTGTGTTTATTGCTCACAGTTGTGTAATTTATATTTAAGGCTTGTATTTGATTAAATATAAAATAACAAAACACTTCACTAAATGAATCGATAGACTGGTAAGTAAATCGAGCAGAATTATAGGTCAGGTTGTCTTGAAAGCATCCCTGAACTTTGAAAAATGGATTATCTATTCAAGATGCAAATTTTAAAACATAGAAACATAGAAATTAGCACCTTAAACTCAGTAATCAGGTACTGTTAAAACAGAAATTGGTAAAGCTTTTATAAAGAATGATTAACACATAAAAATATTTACATATACATTTGTCTTGACTCAATCATATTAATATGTTTCACAGGATGTCCGTATTTTCTATTACAAAATAAAATAAATAAATAAATAAAACAAGTTTTTTCTACTTTAAATTATTTTTGGACATTTCAGATTTTAAGTTGCTGGATTTTTTTTCTATATGTTCTTAGAAAGCAGTTGTTTGATTTAGCATTTAGTTCTAAAGTAGGTTTGATTAAAGTTACAAATACAGTCATGGAAAACTATCCATAATATATGTGAAATACTCTTTGACTTTTCAAAAATGTGTGAAATTTGTATTTTTTTCAATATGAGATTAAACTTACTGAATTTGATTGTTGTATTTAGCAACAAAACTTTTATAGTTGTTCTATTTTTAAAAAATGTTGTTTTTCTCTATAGCTTTATAGTGCTCAAGACAGAAACATTACCACTGGTCCATCGATAAATAAACCGGTCAGTCATTGGATAATCTGACTATTCAATGGATTTTACCACTACACATATCTCTTATTCTTTGTTCAATGTTATTTTCTAGGAATTCTTTTTTTTTTTTTTTTTTTTGTAGTTTAAAAAAAAAAATGTTTTGTTATCAATTAAAAGAATAATGTTGAATAAAAAAGAAAAGGGAAAACATCTGAGAGGAAAGCACAAGCTGAGGCTGAAGAGCACAACATGTTCCCTTTGTTTGGATACCATTAGGCATACTTCAAAAGGTATATATGTTCCCACCTCATCACATAACTAGTTCAAGCCAGAAAACCCATAAACATCCCTTCACACAGTAACATCTGCCAAATTTCTCATGTATAAAGAAAAGCATACACATACAAAGAGACATATGGTATATTTATATACAATGTAACAAATTTACTGTAGAATTTACAGTAAATAACTGGTAAAAAGTTGCAAATAATGTGCTGTAAAATTCCTTGATAAACTAAATGCAGTATATTATTGGATACTGTTTGTAGGTTTTGGCTGTATATAAATAATGTATTACAATAACGTATTATTTTATATTAGGAACAACCATTTATTGTTATTATTATTATTATTATTATTATTTTATTCCATTCAAATTATAAGCATTAGCTGTCAAGTCAATTTGCCAAGTGGTTTTATAATCCAATATTTTATTGTCGTCAAAGCTGTGCTTGCTGATAAGCCAAACTGTATAAACGCTACATCAGATCATCTTCTGCTATAAATAAAACAGTCAGTGCTGCAAAAACAATACCTTTTCATTAAGATTTAATGCAGTGAAATGTATTAAAGTTGAGGTGACCCCAACACATCTATATTCTAATCAACCCAAACAGGCATAGAGGGCATAGAGATGAGACAAACAGCACTAAACTATTGGAAACAATTATTGCACAGTAACTTATACTACTGTAATAGGCCAAGACCCGCCCGTGACACTGGACAATGTTTCTCTCCCCCATTCGGGATTTCTGCGTTACATTAACGCACAGTCTGCTGTTTGTATATACACTATATTGCCAAAAGTATTTGCTCACCCATCCAAATTATTGGAATCAGGTGTTCCAATCACTTCCATGGCCACAGGTGTATAAATTCAAGCACCTAGGCATGCAGACTGTTTTTACAAACATTTGTGAAAGAATGGGTCGCTCTCAGGAGCTCAGTGAATTCCAGCGTGGAACTGTGATAGGATGCCACCTGTGCAACAAATCCAGTCGTGAAATTTCCTCGCTCCTAAATATTCCACAGTCAACTGTCAGCTGTATTATAAGAAAATGGAAGTGTTTGGGAACGACAGCAACTCAGCCACGAAGTGGTAGGCCACGTAAACTGACGGAGCGGGGTCAGCGGATGCTGACGCGCATAGTGCGAAGAGGTCGCCAACTTTCTGCAGAGTCAATCACTACAGACCTCCAAACTTCATGTGGCCTTCAGATTAGCTCAAGAACAGTGCGCAGAGAGCTTCATGGAATGGGTTTCCATGGTCGAGCAGCTGCATCCAAGCCATACATCACCAAGTGCAATGCAAAGCGTCGGATGCGGTGGTGTAAAGCACGCCGCCACTGGACTCTAGAGCAGTGGAGACGCGTTCTCTGGAGTGACGAATCGCGCTTCTCCATCTGGCAATCTGATGGACGGGTCTGGGTTTGGCGGTTGCCAGGAGAACGGTACTTGTCTGACTGCATTGTGCCAAGTGTAAAGTTTGGTGGAGGGGGGATTATGGTGTGGGGTTGTTTTTCAGGAGCTGGGCTTGGCCCCTTAGTTCCAGTGAAAGGAACTCTGAATGCTTCAGCATACCAAGACATTTTGGACAATTCCATGCTCCCAACTTTGTGGGAACAGTTTGGAGCTGGCCCCTTCCTCTTCCAACATGACTGTGCACCAGTGCACAAAGCAAGGTCCATAAAGACATGGATGACAGAGTCTGGTGTGGATGAACTTGACTGGCCTGCACAGAGTCCTGACCTCAACCCGATAGAACACCTTTGGGATGAATTAGAGCGGAGACTGAGAGCCAGGCCTTCTCGTCCAACATCAGTGTGCGACCTCACAAATGCGCTTCTGGAAGAATGGTCAAAAATTCCCATAAACACACTCCTAAACCTTGTGGACAGCCTTCCCAGAAGAGTTGAAGCTGTTCTAGCTGCAAAGGGTGGACCGACGTCATATTGAACCCTATGGATTAGGAACGGGATGTCACTTAAGCTCATATGTGAGTCAAGGCAGGTGAGCAAATACTTTTGGCAATATAGTGTAGCTTCTGTGTATATATATAATATATACACAGTATATGTGTGTATATATATAATATATATATATATATATATATATATATATATATATATATATATATATATATATATATATATATATATATATATATATATATATATATATATATATATATATATATATTCTATCTTATTTTGTTATTTTGTTTTGTTTTGTTTTTTGTCTGCACCAACAACACCAAGTCAAATTCCTTGTAAGTGCAAACCTACTTGGCAATAAACTTGATTCTGATTCTGATGTAGTAACACAGTCAACCACATGTAACATTTGAAAACTAACCATATTTTTATCTTTCACTTTTGGTAATTACATACAGTGTCCTGTTGCCCAGGCTCAAATGCATTTAAAGTCCATTAATCTTCTGAGAAGTGCAGAAACATAAGGGGCTGACCCCGCGCTGTCCCTCTTGTGGTTTACCTTCCTGCTTCTTGGATCAATCCACTTGATTGTTTTGGTGCCAGAGGTTTGGTTGATCGCAACAAAGCATTTGAAGTCACATAATCAGAGAAAAGGACACTTAATGAAATACAATGTTTACAAGAGACAGTAGAACCCATTAAGTTGTGGAGAAAAGCTCATCAGTTTTCCAAGTAGGTAAAACATGAAACCAATAATTGCTTTGATTGCTGATGTGCAAAGCAAGGTAATTTATTAATATACAGTAGCCCATTTTTTAAACAGTTTTCTCAAAGGGTTTTACATAGCACCATAACAACACCCCCTGTGCTTTAGACCCTCACATTTGCTTAGGAAAACTCCCCAAAACAGTTTTCCATGGGAAAAGGAGAGGTATCTTTTACCCATGACAGGCAGGAGTGCAATAACTAATGTATTCACACAAAACAGATTGTAAGGCAGAATATGGATGTATATACACTATATTGCCAAAAGTATTTGCTCACCCATCCAAATTATTGGAATCAGGTGTTCCAATCACTTCCATGGCCACAGGTGTATAAATTCAAGCACCTAGGCATGCAGACTGTTTTTACAAACATTTGTGAAAGAATGGGTCGCTCTCAGGAGCTCAGTGAATTCCAGCGTGGAACTGTGATAGGATGCCACCTGTGCAACAAATCCAGTCGTGAAATTTCCTCACTCCTAAATATTCCACAGTCAACTGTCAGCTGTATTATAAGAAAATGGAAGTGTTTGGGAACGACAGCAACTCAGCCACGAAGTGGTAGGCCACGTAAACTGACGGAGCGGGGTCAGCGGATGCTGAAGCGCATAGTGCGAAGAGGTCGCCAACTTTCTGCAGAGTCAATCACTACAGACCTCCAAACTTCATGTGGCCTTCAGATTAGCTCAAGAACAGTGCGCAGAGAGCTTCATGGAATGGGTTTCCATGGTCGAGCAGCTGCATCCAAGCCATACATCACCAAGTGCAATGCAAAGCGTCGGATGCGGTGGTGTAAAGCACGCCGCCACTGGACTCTAGAGCAGTGGAGACGCGTTCTCTGGAGTGACGAATCGCGCTTCTCCATCTGGCAATCTGATGGACGGGTCTGGGTTTGGCGGTTGCCAGGAGAACGGTACTTGTCTGACTGCATTGTGCCAAGTGTAAAGTTTGGTGGAGGGGGGATTATGGTGTGGGGTTGTTTTTCAGGAGCTGGGCTTGGCCCCTTAGTTCCAGTGAAAGGAACTCTGAATGCTTCAGCATACCAAGACATTTTGGACAATTCCATGCTCCCAACTTTGTGGGAACAGTTTGGAGCTGGCCCCTTCCTCTTCCAACATGACTGTGCACCAGTGCACAAAGCAAGGTCCATAAAGACATGGATGACAGAGTCTGGTGTGGATGAACTTGACTGGCCTGCACAGAGTCCTGACCTCAACCCGATAGAACACCTTTGGGATGAATTAGAGCGGAGACTGAGAGCCAGCTCTTCTCGTCCAACATCAGTGTGCGACCTCACAAATGCGCTTCTGGAAGAATGGTCAAAAATTCCCATAAACACACTCCTAAACCTTGTGGACAGCCTTCCCAGAAGAGTTGAAGCTGTTCTAGCTGCAAAGGGTGGACCGACGTCATATTGAACCCTATGGATTAGGAACGGGATGTCACTTAAGCTCATATGTGAGTCAAGGCAGGTGAGCAAATACTTTTGGCAATATAGTGTATATAAGGTGATCTGATTTGACTTGCAAAGCTAGTGAAAGTTCCGTTTGGAGAGGGAGCATAATGTTATCTTTTTGTTTTTTAACTAATTTTAAAATACATTAATATAGGATGTTTACAAGAGAGTTGAAAGAGTAAAGAGGGGTAAAATATGATAGTTTCCTGGCCAAAATGGGGAGACTAGACAATTAACCACAAACTGCAGTGTATCTAGAAGGGCTGTCTTGGGATTTTACCTCCAGCTCAGGTCTCTCTCTTACAGCAGCTGCTTGTATCTCTCGCTCCCATGCATCGTCTGCACGGGGCATGCTTCTCTGATCATTTACTGTGATCCTTCCATCTCCTGCTAATTGCCTCTGCAGTTAGCTTCTATAGTTAACCTCTCTCAGCCAAACACTGCATGAAAAGTGGGATTTTCGTCAATATACGGCACTGTAGATTGTCGTGGAACTTCAGGTTAGCGGCAGTTTACGGCAATTTGCAGGCTTCGTCGAAAACTCCCGTAAATTGTCAGAAATTGACGTGGAATTTCTTAGGCAGTGTTCCCCCATGCCTCCCCCCATGGAATTCTAGGGGAGGCTTTAACATGTAAATGAACATGCTGTGAGCTATACAAATGCAAACCAGGGTTGCAGGGGGGGGGGGTTACCCCAAG